ATTATTTCCAATAAAGAGACTAGTCCGAAAAAGGAAACCGAATCCTGCTAGGAGTTGGTTAAAAGCGAACTCCTGAAGTTATAACTTATAAATACTGGTCGACACCAGGCCAATTCCTAGCCCTTCTCGATCGATACTTCTTGTTCTTGCAGTCTTTACCCTCTTCCTTCTTGATCTTCCTTTTTATTTGTGTTGTTCCTTTCCTCCCTTCTTTGGTACTGTTTCGGAAGGGAGAATGTCTACTAGTTCAAAAAGTGATACCCAAAAGATAGAGAGGTATATGAGATCAATTTGTACCTGGGAAGCCCCTGAGAATGGATGGGTGATGTTGAACGTTGATGCCTCCATTGACGAATCAAAGAAAACAGTCTAGATGGCCGGCACTATCAGAGATCTCGAGGGGCAATATCTTACTGGTTTTACTTATAAGCTTCAAAACTTCGAAAGTACAATTCAAGAAGCTGAGTTAATGGCTATTTTTTGCTGGTGTCCAGTATTGTCGTACTCTGGAGCACGAAAAAATTCGCCTTGTTACAGATAGTTCTGATAGTATAACCTTGATTCAAGGTGATGTTGCCAATAGAATGGCCAAGCCTTTAGGACCACTAGCACAAGACATTCTAGATTCCATCCCGGATGATTTGTATTCTTGTGAGTATATAATAAAAAGCAATGGTCATGTGTCGGTAAGTTATGAAATAAGGGAAATTCCCCCCTCCCCACCTTTTATATTTTCGTTATGAAAAAAATAACCTCTTTTGCGGCTTATTATAATGGGAGAAATCAAACTAATTAAGAGTATTGTTTCCGTCACATAATCCATTATCCATCCCTCTTTTTCTAGGGTTTAGGGTGTAATTTAGTAAAATAATTTTGTACTATATGTAGGAGTTTACTATTTGAGTGGATCATTATTAAATATACAACCGCCTTACTTTACAAGGTGATCATTAATTTTTCATACTCTTCCCATAAAAAAAGGGTTAATTCAAAAATATATTTTCAATGTCGAGTCAACCTGCAACGGTGTAAATATGTATGAGTTGCCTGGATTGCCATCATCATCAGAAGAGCATTTGGATTTGGGTGATTGTAAATACTGTACATTATTTGTAAATATATTGGCTAGGGATGCCGTTGTAATTTTCTGTAAATAAATGGATACAAATGTAAATAGCAATAGTAGTTGTACAGTATTAGTTGGTTAGTTTAATATGGTTGCCAGGGGAAAAATAGGAGAAATTAAACTTGAGAAAATAATGCTTGGAAATCCTCTACGTAATTGCTTGAAGAAAATAACTTTTATTCGATTGCATTGTGACATTACCAAAATCTGGGATTATCAGTTTGGATTACACATCCGCACATGTACTAAGTGGAGGACAGCATATGTTGTTTATGTTTGATCATCTGTTCAACTTGACTGATGATGTGTATTTGAGTTCATTTAGCAGTGTTTTGACATTCTTACGTACACTTCTGGCTTGGCTTAAAACTTATTCAGCAAATTACTCAAATACAGGGTTCAACATCACCTTAGCAATTTTACAATTCGCCAAAAAAAAAAAATCAAGTTTCGGTAAGATAACTTTTACCGTTTCGTTCATGTCTACAAATATGATCCAACTATTAAATTTTGTGAACTTGGCCTAATCATGATCATAATTGGTTCTTTCTCCCCACCCCCACCCCCCCCCCTCCCCCGTGGGGGTGGGGAATTACGATAGTACTTGAGGTTCCAAATTAATCTAAATCACTTGAGAATGTCTACATACGAATGCACGTGAGGTTTAACTCACGATATTTTTGTGTTCAACTTCACCTTATCAACTTATTACCTTGGTTGTTTATGTGATTTATGATAATTAGTAAAATGTCACGTTACACATAAATTATGCGATGATTTTGATACGTAGATCATAAAACGTGTTGATAAATTTGATGAGAATCATTAATTTTGGCATACTATCCACTACTGCTTATGTTGTATTCAAACTGGTTAAAACTCATAAAAAAAAAGTTGATGCTGTAATTTTATTTCTTCTTCTTCTAATATATCCGTAATGTCTAGTAGACAAATCATCAAACAAAACAAAGTGAAAAAAAACGCTATTAAATTAATTATTCCCCATTATAACTACAATATTTATAAAGAGACACAAAAAATCATCATCTTGTAATGTCACGTACGTATGTCTTCTTCAGATTGACAATCCCATCTATGCAGCAACTTCATGGCACCGCAGTTATCGTGGTTTAACACCGGCGCATTCACATTTCGGACGACGACGTCGGCTATTCTCTAGGTCTTTTTTTGTATTCTAAGAATGGTTGTCCTTTGAGATTCCGAATCACCTTGGGACCTTCGGGGGTGGATATCTTAGTTAGATTATCGGTAACGTAATTAGCCCACATGTGCCTAAATTGGGTGGTGTACTCCTAATCATCCGAGATGGAATCTAGAATGTCTTGTGCTAGTGGTCCTAAAGGTTGGCCATTCTATTGGCAACATCACCTTGAATCAAGGTTATACTATCAGAACTATCTGTAACAAGATGAATTTTTTCGTGCTAAAGAGTACGGCAATACTAGACACCAGCAAAAAATAGCCATTAACTCGGCTTCTTGAATTGTACCTTCGAAGTTCTGGAGCTTATAAATAAAACCAGTAAGATATTGCCCCTCGTGATCTCTGATAGCGCCGGCCATCTAGACTGTTTTCTTTGATTCGTTAATGGAGGCATCAACGTTCAACATCACCCATCCATTCTCAGGGGCTTCCGAGGTACAAATTGATCTCATATATCTCTCTATCTCTTGGGTATCACTTTTTGAACTAGTAGACATTCTCCCTTCCGAAACAGTACCAAAGAAGGGAGGAAAGGAACAACACAAATAAAAAAGAAGATCAGGAAGGAAGAGGGTAAGGACTGCAAGAACAAGAAGTTCGATTAAGAAGGACGAAGAAATGGCATGGTGTCGACCAGTATCTATAAGTTATAACTTCAGGAGTTCGCTTTTAACCAACTCCTAGCAGGATTCGGTTTCCTTTTCCGGACTAGTCTCTTTATTCGAAATAATAGTAGTGAAATTCCTTTTCCAAGTAGCATTCTGATTTCTGATTGGCGGTCAACGGTTATAACTCTTTTTTTTTTGTTGGTTTGAAGAATTATTTTCATCATCAGAAGCTTTAATATTTTGATGAAAGATTTATAATCGACGTTATGGAAAACTAATATTGAATTTCTCAACTCTGATTGTCTCCATCTTCTTCTTCTTCCTCCTGCTCTCCGGTCCTCTGTTAAGGAACTTCCGGTGAAATCATTATTGAGGTTTAGGTGCATATCGAAGAGTTGGCAGTGTATGATAGATGACCCTGGTTTCGTGGAGATGCCTCGTCACCAATCACACCAACGACGTGGTGGAGTTAAGCTTCTCGCAGGGCGAGGAGGAGAGGTGATGATGAGGAACGTTTCTTATTAGTTGATCATCATTATCATCAAGCAGGAGAAGAGGAAGAAGAAGAAGAAAATAGTAATAAAAAGAAGAAGATGCATGCAAATGCAATGGTAGTTCCACTTCCACATCCACATCCACATTCATTTGAGGTCTATGAAACCAGCAGCAGGTCCTTGTACCCTCTTTTTCATATTGACATTGTGGAGGGAATAATACGGTTTGGGAGCTATATATGGAATCCCATTACAAGGAAATGTTTTGATCTTCCGCCCCCAACATCTGAGCAACACATTAATGGACATTCCCCTTCGCATTGGTGAACATTATTCGCACTTCAGCAATCCTTATTACTTAGGATTTGATTCAGTTACTAAACAATACAAAGTGTTAGGCATTATTTGTGTGGAATCCGGAATTTTGCCTTGTAAATTTAGATCAAAATGCCATATGCAAGTTATCACACTGGGAGAGGAGGAAGAGGAACTGGAAGCAGTAAGCCAGCCTCATAGAGAGACATCACTCACAATTTTGTGCCAAAAGATGCCAGTCTGAACATGAGGGTAAGTTGGACAAGCTCCTCTATCTACATAAGAAATAAGATTTACATTTTGGTTGAATATCCAGAAGAACATTTGGCTATAATGATCTTCTCGGTCGGGGAAGAGAGTTTTAGATTGATACCTCTCCCGATCCCACATGAAGAAGGAGGGGAGTTTGCATATATGTGGGATATTATTGAAGTAGGAGGATGCGTTGCTTTGATGAGGAGCAAATTCAATAATCATCAAGGTACAGATATATGGAGGTTGATGAACGAAGAAGAGAAAGAATGGGAGAAAATCATATATGGAAGTTGGCCAAAAAGATTTCTACCTCATAACATCCCAGACTACAAGTCAGATTTAGTGCGTTGTGCCATCAATGACACCGAGAATCTGGTTCAAATATGGGACGAAGACAAGAAGAAGTTGTTCTGCTACTACTGGGATATAAGAGACTGGAGGATCAAGAGAGCCCCCCAATATGATTTCACACCAGACTCGCCATAGATTTTTCATCTTTTCTCAACTTGTTGAAACTTTATTCCATCCCACACTGCCAGAAAGCAGAGATGTCTCTAATTAATGCAAGGATTTTTTTTTCCCCTTCGAAAAACAAACGATCGCTTATCATTTCCCTCCTCTAAACTGGCATCTCCGCCAATTCAATTAATATTTATGGTTTTCTGAGTTTTAGAATTTTGTGCGTATTTGAAAACACAACATCAGGGTAAAATTTTCTTATTTTTAAATCGTGCCTTTGACATTCATCAATCTCTGTGTGTGTGTGTGTGTGTGTCTATGGATATTGATTATGGGAAAGTGCAAACATATAGAAACAATGTGCATGCATGAATTTCATTCCCCAGAAATTCTTTTCACTCCTCGAAAATTTGGAGGATACTCTTAGAAGTTGCAGAAAATCTTATCTTTAGTGTAACTACTTTGGTTTGGAGATTAGTCTCACCAAAATACTAAAGAGCGAAAGAGTGGAAATTTGGATTCAAAGAAATCAGCTCTTCATTGCTGTATAAAAAGAATGGAATGGATTCATACAACTTGTCAACAAAACCTTGCTTTATTATATGAAGATCAGAAGTAGAATGGAAAAGAAATATTCAAAATATCACGTTTCACTACACTATCGCTCAAATTTAGGTGAGAAGCTTGCACTCAACTCAGGACAAAATTGAAGAGCTTGACTCCTGATAAATGTGGAGTGGGTTTGTAGCTCTACCCCTGATATCTCCAGGTCCCTTAACTCATATAGTTACAAGGAAAACTGCTCCTATTTGTCCATCAACTACTATCTAGCAGCATCAATGCTTGCAGAAACGGGTGCAACACGCCGATCATGCATGAAAATTGCAAACAACGAATCAAAACTGAACAAATCTCTCAACTTTGAAATCGTATAGCCACTTCAGCCTTCCAAGGAAAAAAGTAAAGACTTGTTAAAAATAAATAAAACATCTATGATCTCAGCAAAACAGCATTGCATTGCTCATTTTTTTGCTCAGGGAAAAAAGCACATTACCAATTACAGAGCCAACCCTCCAGGTTATGGAACCGCTTTATCCCCTCTACAAACTAAAAGCAGTCCATTTTCACATCTGTGACATCAAGTTGTAGTATTTCTGCTCTGCACCCAAGTATTGAACCAATGCTGCAGCATAAAACACGACAGATTCAAGAAAAGTTTTCGAGAAAATGGGATATAGCAAAAACTTATGACACAGCAACAACAAAGTATATGCTCTGAGCACATGATAGACGTTGGAGAAACTATAAATTGTTTCACTTTTCAAAGAGGTTGTATAAATACAGAATGCTGTGCCAATCAACTCACAAACAAAAGAAACACAAATAACTCTTTTCCCTTCAACGTGCATTGAAAAGAACTGTTATTAGTGAGGAAGTGATGAAACTGTTCTCAAGCTCAATATCTTCCTTTATTTCTAGTATTGACCAGGGACTGCTGATAGGGCCAAGACTGAGAAAACCATCCATTTGTGCAAATTTTTATGGGGTTTCAAGACTCAAATACACGAAAAAGTGACTCGAGCGTTTTATAAGATAGGAAAACTTTTCATGAAAACTATGACCTGAAATATTAAATAGCCTGCCAAAGGATAATGGGTGAATTTTTATACCTGGGGTGTGTTCTTCCAAGATCCCCATGCACAAATTCCTTGATATATGTCCCAGCCTGTCATAATAATCAGTTCTACATTAAAGCCAACTGCAAGCTCTTTTTGGTGTACGACAACAGTCTCAAGGATTAATGTGTTGTCATATACAAGCTGGGGTACAAAAGAAAACACCTTCACAGCATAATATGTTTTGGTTACTTAACCCATACCTGAGTACATAGATGCAGTAAAAAATACTGACAGCTTCCCGCTATTTTCTCCACTTTCATCCTGAATTAAGACAAACTCCCATTAGAATTTGTATTAGTGTAGGAATATACATCATTTGTCAAGAAAGCACACCAGTTAATAAAGTCCATACCAATGTATAACTTTTTCACGAGCTAAAGGACTTCGGCGGTGTAGAACTCTTATCGGTGTCTTCTGAGAAATTTTCTTCAGGAGGAAAGGAGAAACGAACGGATCAAATATCAATATCGAATTTTGGCCACGGAGCAATATCATTTCGGTAAATCAACTGAACAGGCATAGAAAGTTCCGAAACTACTCTTGCATCATGAACATTTCAAGTAAATTTGATACTATTTGCAACAGCGGTAGCTCTATTCAACCTATTCCTTGAGAAAGTTTTATATAGATATTACTTAAGTCGAACACACACCAGAATGTGGATTCTTTTCTTTCCTTTTGAAGGGGAGGGGTGAGAGAAAAGGTATAGTTTTGGCGTGAGAGATTGACTTACCATGTCTGTGATCGAAAACAGAGTCTGCAAATCTCCATCCTCAAGTGGACGAGATATCCAGACCAGTGCAGCATACTGCTTCTGCATGCACGTCATGATGAAATATTCACAACCATTTCAGGCCAAGAAATCCAACAAAAGCACACTGATTATCCATTCAAAAGCACTACCGTTATACCTGTTTCTCAGCTTCTCCTTCGCGCATCAGTTCCCACCCTTTACTATCTAAAATCCTGAGATTCTTAACCTTTACCTGAATTTACAGCAATAAAGCCATCCAACATCATAAAAAAGTCAAGAAAATGCAAAGTGGAAACATCTCCATAAAGTTGCACGTACAAGTTTATGGTCCAGGCTATTTATCTTCATTTCTGCTTCCTTTATAAGCACTTCAGATGGCAATAGTCGAGCATTTTGTATCTCAACTAGGAAAGGCCGACCTGTACCCAGCATTCGGACCTGAAAATTTATATAATGTAAGAACTGCATCAAGCAAAAGGTAAAAAGAAGAGAGACACTAAAGATTTCGTACGTCTATATCCTCTCTACCAGCAGCATGAAACTTGTAACTGTCACCTTCACAGAAAGGAAGTATGTTGCCACCTACTATTTCCTGCAAAGCCAGCCGTTGCACTTACTCGTGTAAACCCAAACAAGAAAATAATGTCAAGTAATTAAAACAAAGAAATACCTCAACTGATGCCTCTCCCTTTCTTTCGTCCTCAATAATCCAGCAAGTTTGGCTAACATTTCGGGAGTACTGCACCAGAAACAATATTGGAAAAATATGAAGTTGCTTTTGAACACCATAGAGATCATAATGGTTTCGCATATGTAAAGTGATGACAGACATTACTCACACCAAGATTGTGTAAAGTTTACACACCTTCAGATATCTGCCACCAATATATATAGGACAACGGTAGCAAATGACTGCCAAATGAAAATACTGATTACCCTGAAAAATTGGAAGATGAAACGGGACAGATACAAGTTAAGCGTCATCAGCAATTTAAATGAAGCTAACTCAATAAAGAAAACTTAGGAAGCAATGATGAAACAGAAATCAAGAAAAACTTAAGATTCAGATTAATACCTTCTTCACCAGTAAATTTAGGTCATCACTTCCATGATCTACCAACTCCTTGGTGAAGCCTTTAGACAGTTCAATGAATTCATTGTTCGAATCAGTACCATTTCTCGTACCTGCTTAATGATATACTAACAATTAAAAGATCAAATTTTCTACAATTCGTTTGCAAGGTAAAGAAACAGGATATGTTGTCTTCTAAGTGCAAAAAGCCACAAGTGAAAAATACTAGATAGATCTTTTAACTGCTGAGTACAATATTAGAAATTGTAACAAATACAACTTCAATGTACTTTGCATTGGTTAAAATTAAGATTTTCTGGCTTCCGCAGATTGTTGGAGTGTGCCACTATCTCTAAGCTTTAAGAGCAGCTCATTATTTTTATAGATCATGGAATTACCAAGAAAATTTATAATTCAAATACGGCTCTTCTGAATCTCTGCATCATGTTCTGGCATTAGTTTGTAAGTCAAACAGGCATGCAACTAACTCCAGAGGTTATCTAAAGCACAAATAAGAAACCAAATGACACGGATGAAACACTCTCTAAGACTCTGGATAAAGTTGTTATGTATATTTACCCTCTTTTTTTCTCCTTTTGCATCCTGTGATCTCCTTAGTATCTTGGGTTTGAGTAGATTTTTCTGAAAGTTCATATTCCAATCGAATGCGGAAATTGCTTAGATTTGATTTCACACCCTGCAGAACAAAATGGAAGTTAGCAAATTGCAAAACTCAGAAAGACAAGATTATTGTTGGGTGACCTTGATAAAATATAAGATCATCCCACCACCAGGAAGAGACAACTTCAAGGAGAAGCCAGTACAAAATGTAGCATTAAACTTTATCCAAAAACTGAATTCTTGTTCAGAAAATAAAGCACATTGCATTCTGAAGGGACTTTAAAGAAAAGATAGCCAAGACATGAGGTACCAGAGATATTTCTAGAGGAACTGATATTGCCAACTTTAAAGCATCCTTCACTGATATATGCCCAGGCACAGATTTCCCCTGGAACCACTCTTCAGAACCATACTTCTTCTTCATATACAACCTAAAAAGCACAGTTCTTGCTCATTAGTTTCTTATACCAACTCGTACAAACAAAACAGCAAAAGAATATTAAAATAAAGCATAGAACAGATGCTGCATATGCAAATATCAAAAGAATCCACCCACTCTCAAGTCAATTTTCAAGAAAAGAACATTCTGATGAAATCAGATAACGCCAAAAGAGCAAAAATTACTAATCTTCAGACTATACCAACTTGATTCATCAGATTCTGTACCTAACAATTTGTTCATTTTCCAAGACCACTGGCGGCAATGATACTTCAAGAGAAAAACCATCAATCAGTTGATACTCTTGCTTCACAGCTTCAACAATCATCTGAGCGAGGTCGCTTGCACGATCTTTCCTAACCAAAATTCCTTGCTCGTCATGGTAGACAAAGTCCAAGACGCCTAAACAGATGCTGCATACTTTAGGCTCTAAGAGAGATGGTATGCTCAACTTGTCATTTTCACCAGAAACATCATCCTTCATGTCGACCTGTGGCCCAAATACTTCTCCAAGAATTGAGCTCACACTTGATGTGGGCATCGAAGGGAAAGAATAAATACTTTCATAAATACCAAAAACCCGAAAAATGCAGCCACAACAAGCCTGCATCACGAGGTAAGGAATTACTCTATGTCTTCCACATCCTTTTTACATTTCATTTAATTTGGTTTTGGCCAAAAAATTATGGCAAACTCAGTGGTAGCAGCAGACTAGTCAATCGGTACAAAAATTTGATTGATCTCATATAATCACTCTTAAAAAGATTCTTCACAGGGAGTACCAATGTCCGAAGAAATATGCTGTTATTAACAAAAAAGAAAAAGAAAAATGTTTCTTACCAGTTATTAGCAGTTGTTAGTACTACTACTATAATCAAATATTCTTCACCAACGAGAAATCAAAAGATGAATTCACATATATGGCTGTCACCTAAGAGGATATCGTGAGGCATGATGGCATTTATCACATAGTATCAGCAACGAGTTCAATAAACAGTTCAACCGCATTACGAAGCATGAACAACGGTACTATTGACTGATTAAAACGAAGTTTCAATAAGGTTACCCCAAATGACAGTAAGTCTTTGACGGCGGGAGTTGGAAGTTCACGGACGGCGTCCCGGACAAATTTCAGGCCATCATCCACAAAAGCGGCTCCAGAGGAGTTGATTTGCGGTTTCTCATCGCCGGCGCCGCCGTTGCTGTTGAGCTCCCGCACAACTTCCTCTTCCCCGGTAGACATAATTATTCTTAACGAATCGCTAATAAGAGAATTCTTTTCTCTATAATTCTTGCACAGATTTTTCGAATGTTTATTTCAATGTCCAGAGCTCAAAGAGGAGGAGAAGAAGTGAATTCTTCTTTTCTCTATAATTCTTTTTGAGTTAGTTGCGAATAACGGACTCTGGCTCATATTTTTACTCTTTTAGTACTTCTAAGTATTTATTATTGAAATTTGTGCACCTCAAGTTTCTAATTTTGGCAATGCACTCCCAACTTTGAACTCTCCTTTTCTTTTTTTCTTTTTTTTTTTCAAATTTCTGCTGTATTTTTTTCTCCTTCAATGGTTTTTGTTTTGCTTTTTTTTTTTTTTTCCGTATTTAGAGTTTTTCATGTTCGGCCAAATTTAGGGGTTTTCTGTTTTTCTTCTTAATAAAGGGAAAGAAGGGGGTAAAAATTACAATCGATTCCACATCTAATAAGGCGCATTGTCATATTAATACTATTATTAAGAGGAATCTCAAACATTACATTATATTTTTTTTTTCATTCAAAATGATCACTAGGGAGTATACTGTTGTTTTAATCATGAGAATTGTAAATACATGAAGTTGGATTTGATTAGGAGAACCTTGTGAGTACAAATCTTTCCACAATGAAAGTGGGCAACAAAATTGACAAATGGTTTTCAAAGTAAAGACTTTTTGGGTATTCACATAATTTAAAGTTTTAAACGGACTATAATCAAAGCCAAACTTTAAGATCATTCAATCATGATTAACCTATATATGAATGCTTCATCATTCATCAACAGCGTGAATCATTGAACGAGATCCTCCAAGGTACATGAGTAACGTCACAGATTCCCGTTCAAAGGGACGACGAAACCAATCTGTTAAGATCCACGAACCCAGAAAGCACAGTCCGGTTTCGCTCCTTCACCTTCACCTGGTATACTACTCTGCACATTTCCCGTTCAGTTATTGCATAAGATTTCTAAAGCTCAAAAACGAACAACGACGACAAAGCATTTATATCTTATTAAAACTTAAGGTAAGAAGGTAAGAATGAATTACAAAAAACAGTTTGTTTCGAGATATGTTTAATGTGAAAAATGAATTCAATTTCAGCATGATGGGTTACCTCAGGCCATCAAGCCACATTTCTGTTATCAAAGTTTCTCCTGGATAGACGTGCAATAAAAATCTTCCAGAAATACTCTTGACCATAGTTTGATCCCCTCCACATATACGGTTACAGACTGCCCTCACTGCAAAGCCTAGGGTACAGAGACCATGCAATATTGGCCGAGAGAATCTAAACGAACAAAAGTAGAGGAAGTCAGGGACAATATCACATTGCCGAACTTGATGACAAAGATGGCCAATAAAATGTTATTCAACTAAAGCAATGGGAAGAAATAGAAAAGAAAAGCAAAAAAGAATACGAAAAATCACTCTGCAGGAATATCGTGACGAGCTCACGCACGAACAAAATATGAGAGAAAAGGTTTTCCGCAATCAATGAGCCAAAAAGAGAAAATAAACAAACTTCAGAACATGGCCTCCATATATCTTCATCAAAAAGTATATAGATTATAGACCCAAATTACCCTGCAACTTCTGCAATCTTTGGATCCGAATGCAAGGGATTGTAATCTCCAGAAAGCCTGTAAAGTAACGCCTGTAAAACAGAAACAAAAAAGTTAATTTCTACCACAAAAAAGTACAATGCAGTTTAATGAATATATAATCAGAATTAGCGTGGTACTAGGGACAATTAAATACGCAGGAGGAAAATATTGCAGCAATAAGCACACTGCATGAGAAATTCTTTCAATCCTCAATGAACAAATTGATAAATATTTATATTTCAATCACAAGATTATTCGTAAAAATCCAGAGTAAAAAGAAACCTCTACCAGTGCAACATAAGAACATGAATACATGATTATAAAACTAATACCCCATCGATCAGGTAAAGATTAGGAACAGTTAGAAACTAAATTCCAATGACATCAGAAATTACTCTATGTAAATGAGATCATTATTAGGAGACTAAGAGTTAACATGCCTGAGATGGTTGTGTACATTCCTCAAATATTGCATATGGTTGACCTTTCGGGATCCCTATATTTGATGCAGTATTTGTTCCGTGCTTGGAGTATGAATAAGGCTGAGATGATTTTGAGAACCCACCAGCACCCCTCAGATAAACGGCCATTCTAAATAAAACAGCAAATCACTCAAATGTACAAACCGCATAATGACAAATCCAAACACAAAGAATCACGCAAATCAGAACTTACCTGTTCATGCATATCAACTCACCAGACTCTTTCTCGTAGCTTAATATTTCAATTTCCAAAATAGCAGCTTTACCTGCAGAAATCATCAATCTTACACTATTAGAGATGAATACCAAACAACTAATTCCTGTATGCCAAAAAAGATATCAGAAACACTTTCAATGGAGTGATCTGCATTTTCTGAGTAAAAGATGTATAAAAAAATCTCAACTTTTTCTCATTGGCTTTCATGAACCAGCTACACCTACCTATATATTCACTTTGATGGGGCTAGTGTTAATAAAAATAGGTTTCATACTTGGACGGATGAATTGGACGAGGCATTATATCCATAACAAATAAATGAGCAATGAAGTTTTCATACACTGCAAGTTTCAGTAGATCCCCTTGTCTTATGTGCAGTATCAGACATATACATAACTCAGGAGATCAAATAAGTGAGATTTTCAGACACTAACCTTTGTCTTGCAGTCCAGAAATGCTTGCTCTGTTGACCATCTGCAATACTAGCATTTATCAGCAAAAATAGTACGTAGAGATTGCCTACTGATGGAATGAAACAGAAGTATGAAAAACAACTTTTCTAGACAAAATCCACACTTTTGTAACCCTGTCACAATCAAAATTTACCATTTAGCAAATTTTAACAATCCAGCAATGGGTAAATTTTCCTCAAGGTTTTAAGCTTGTCAAGAAATTGCCACAAGTTGGAGAACTTTCTCTAAGTGAAATGTTCAACTGCCTTTATAAGCAATTCTATTTTAGAACTACCTGACCACGAAAGAGGAGGCGGGGCATTGTACTTTTTCTTTCTAGTTCCCGTTTACTCCGGTTATTTTGATTTGTGAAACAAGATTGAGGCTCAACATTTTCTAATCGGCGTCTCAAGCAAACACTGATGAAAGGGAACAATTTAAAATGGGTTCTAAAGATATCGTACAGTTCGTAGAGGACACGGCATTCCTTGCATACACGAATGCAGATGGCATACATTTTCATTCTCATTGCAATTATAGTTTGATTCCCACATAAAACAAAAGCTTTCTGCATTAGATACTTACAGAAGCATTAGATGGCAGTGGTTTGTATATTTCAATGAACTGATGTCCGTGCAATAGAAGGCGTGGATCATATCTGCAGAACACATACACCAATCATTATCTTCCTCCAACGACAAGGTGAAGGGGAGAAAATTGTCAAAGGGAAGCTTCAATGAATGAACGAGAACTTACTCCAAGCCAGGCAAATGTTCAATTTCTGAAGCAAAATCATTGGAAAACAAAGCCGCGAAAGTTGGCAACACCTAGAAGATATAAGGAGTAATCATTAAGGCAGTGATCCCTATCTTTTAATCTAATGGAATGATAACTTGCACATTGAAACTCAAGTAAAACCCGAGTTCAGATAAAAATCCCATAATTCTCAAAAGAATATATAAACACTCCTCAGTCAAGCTTCATAGTATATATATGTCGTCACTCAATCCTATGACTAAGAGCCCTCAAAGGTAGCTTTAATCATTCAATAAACGAACAAATTAAATGGCATGAACAGCAGAACTAGAAACAATTATTTACGAGGAATTGAACCCAAAAGAAGCAAAGAAAGACAGACCTGGATGAATTGCTGGCCATCGGGATGGTAAACATATTTGAGTTCCTTATCATCCAGAGCATCCTTTGCACAAGCTCCCACTCCTAGCCCATATATGGCAGCATCCCTTTCCGTGTAACTGTAAATTTTCTGAGAAAAAAAACACAACACATCAACGATCAAAAACCCAATTAACTAAGCCTCCAGATAACTCAAACAATCAATCAATCAAACCCCAAAAGGAGCAAGTGAAGAGTAGAACCTCCGGAAATTTGTGAGCAATTAACAATTGAGGATCAAAATCTGAACTTGCGGCCATTGGAGCTATGGAGAGTTTGAAAAAATGTGGGGATTAGTCAGCCAACCCAATTCAGAATTTAGTACAAGAAGTGCCTTTCTTGGATGCTGCTGGTGGGCTTGTCTGTTAAATTAATCGAAATGAAGAAATTATGAAAGAATCTTATATGGACCGAATTCCTAGATGATATTGTTAACAGTCAAATTGCTGATCAAATGGTATGGGAGCATTCAGGGACAGGATATAGCCAGCCAAAGCGGTCTTCTGATTGCTAATTTTGACTTTAGGTCCATATCTTCACATTTTAAAATTATTTATGTTTACAAATAGAACGTGATGAATAGCACTTCATTTGAAGATAAGTCAAATAGGAGTAGTAGATTGTTATAAACCTTTTGAATAATAAGTAGTAATACTTTATAAATTGTTGGGTGTGAGTGTGATGTTCGGTAAGATGTCTTTATCATTTGGTTGATGGCCATAAATCTGATCTTTTTGGCACCATGGATCATGCAGAATAGTGAAAGCTTTATTCTTGGATGCACCAACCTTTTTAACTGTAAACGGATTGAAAAAAAAAATTTTGAAGTATGGAGACAACACATAATAACTTACATATAATAGCAAGATGCTATCTGTTTGTCATAAAATGATTGGGAAAAAATTACAAATCTCTGGGCAGAATTCTCAAAGAATGAGACCCCCTTGCAAAGGCCATCTTTTTCTTCTTTTCTTTTTTTTTTTCTCTGGTGATCCTAGGTTTTCTCACCAATGCTATAACATGAAAGAACAACATTAAATTAGCAAGCTGCTAACTCTCTCTTAAGCTTGTCCTAACAGTCCTCTCATATATATAAACTCACCAAAAAAAGGTAAAAAAAAGCTATGCTCTTACTGGATTATAGCATAATACAATCAATCAGTGTCGATAGAATCCAAATGGCCTTGTACGGCGACCAGCTGCCTTGCCACAAAGAAGTGCATTCTTCGGGATGGGGTATTCGTCTCTGAGGGAAGTTGATGTGGTGAAAACCTTCAAGTACAATTGTTGTCCTAGGTACTGTCGTGCCCAGAACTCACTCCTCAAGTTCCACATTCCTACGTTGTCTAGTGGTATATATATGGCACTCCATGAGAATGGATACACCTGCATCAAAGGGTAAGAAGTGAGAATATTTTCCATTGCTAATTGACCTCAGATAACAGGTTGAAGGTTCCATGAATTCAAAATTCAATGTGATTTTACAGTATAAACTTTGTGTACTAAGCACAATCTCATGGACGAAACTGATACCTGAACTGTGCTGCGAAAAACTCCATCTCTAAGATTGTACTGATTTCTACTTGCTGGAGTCCACTGACCTCCATCCATTCTGCAGTTCACAACCAGGTTTGTTAACTAATCTTCATGACGGGCATTTAGTTTCAAGAAACTACTACGTTCAATGTTGTTTTTTTTTTTTTTTTGTGACTTACCCGACTACGAAGAAAGCATAGCCATCAAGATGCCAACTCTGTAAGATGTCCTCATTGTTTTCAAATACAATCTCAATGAAGGTTCTGTAATCTGTCTGAAGAACGGACGTGTCCAGGTAGATTCCACCGCCAGTTGGGGCAGCAGAGATGCTGTTAACCTTATAAACTCCGGGAATGTTGAAGTAATCAGCTAGCTTCAAAGGGGTATCAGCCGGGACAAAGGACACACTGTTGACTGCATACCTCTGCTTGCCATTGACCTGACCAGCAGAATTAGCCAACCTGATGGTCCTGGTTGTGTTTATCATGCCATAGTGATACGAGCCTTGTGGATTAGGCCTTGGTCCACTAGCTGTGAGATTGGTCCTAGAATGAAATATACACAAAGATCAGCCAATTCTAGATAATGGATCCTTAGCAAGATTCGAAAAGAGCTGCAAAAAGTGAAGCTAATGTACCTAATGGAACGAGCCTGGTTGAGTGACCAGTCGATTTGGATGGTTGGTCCACCCGGGATTGGACCTGAAGGGCCTTGATTCGAGTTGCTGTAATGAACAATACCAGTGGTGGTGATAACTGGATTGGTGAACCGGGTTGAAACGACAAAGAAGTAGTCCTGAGGAGGTTGATCAGCTGTAACAAGGAAGGAGGAAGATTGTCCAGGATGAAGATCAAATGAAGAATATGTGTTCTGCAATGTATGTGTGCCTTCCACTTCAACCAACTTCAACTTGTGTCCCTGAATACGGAAATTGAGGGAATTCTGCAATCCCACATTTGATACTCGCAGCCTGTAAGTTTTTCCTGTCACAAATCATCATGAAACAGTTTTAACACATTGCTTTCCAAAATGAGTGAGTGTAACAGAAGAAACAAAGTTAAATTGTAGAGTAATATATATGTACCTTGTTCAAAAGTGAAAGTGGTAGCATTAGGACCACGTCCATTGATAAGGATACCATCAGGGAAAGGCAGCTTATGGCCCCTGTCAAGGATTGCCCTCAAGTCCTACACATTTTATATCAGAACAGAAATTCATTTTCAGTTCCTTATTACTATTAAATTTGGAGTAATTCCTATCACAAGTATAAAGTAAATAGCAATAGTTCAGTAGCTTATTAATGGATGATAAAGTACTACTACTATTATAATATAAAACAGAAAGAGCACAATATGAAATTAGCAGGACAAATAGAATTTTATCGGTGTGGGGTTTAAAACTTTGGAATTATTAAGGGGCAAAGAATTAAATCTCAATTGATGGGCCCATTAAGTAGCTGGGCTTTCCTAACGACACAACCATGCTGGGATTTGGCCCAAGACCAAAAGTAGTAAGCAGGATAGTGGAAAGTCTTATTATAAGGCATGTGATGTAAGAAAAATGGCTTGCTAATGCTTGATAGCTAATAGCTACCGACACCAATAACAGTGGCAATAATAATTCAATTATTACATTAATTACTTCCAAACAACAACAACAAAACAGTTATTTTTAGAACGATGAATGTTTTTTCTTTCTTTTTTTTTTCCAAAAAAGAATATTGTAACGGAATCAATGACAATATGACATTGTGATTGGCATATATACTCTGTGTGAGAGTTTCAAGCACCAAATCCAAGTTTGTCTTCTTGTCCTTTTATATACATTAAATTTCGATACATTGTAAATTTGTTTTGTACTAATAAGATTCTTGTTCATTTTTTTTATGAATAAAATTCAAAATTGTGAAGAGAGAAAAAAAAAAAAAAAAAGTAAGGAAATTTACCGTGTGGTTTCGGGCGTACCAATCACCAATGAGGACGGTGAAATCACCGGCGGGATCAGGGAAAGGAACAGGGATGAGAGGCCGGCTAAGGATTCTAAAGCCACCAAAGCCACCGGCGGCCTTGTGGAATGCTAAAGAAGGGAAGTAGTAAAAACTTCCGATCTGATCTTTGACTTGAAGAATGTAGGTGTAATTTTTCCCGGGTGGGATTGGGCATGTTGTACCGTAAACTCCATCCACGTATGAATTCCTTCTGTTTTGAATTCCATTCCTACATTACAATACATTACATGTTTATAAGTAATCATGGAGTTAATTAGAGCAATCCAAACAGAAAAGTAGAATGTTTTGAGCAAATGTGACGTTTTTTGACAGTATTCTTGTTGGATCCAACTCAATGCACCTAGCCACTTACTAATTGTTACACATGGTGCCAAAGTTGCTGCCAAACTTATCTTTCTATAAAGGAAAAAAAGCATATAGTAAAATGATTTTGGAAATAATGAAAGATACATGAAACCAATGTGTTATACCCAAAAAAATAGTCAATATTGAGTTTTCAAATTTATATTAAAAATAGCACAAAATTCAAAACTCAATGTATATTATTTTTGTAGGACAGAAGGAGTACTAAATTAATCTGTTTCGATGTCACTAAAACTATTTGTGTTGAGTTACCATCCATTGAAAGAGTAAAACACAATGACACTATGACGCTGGCAGAAAAAAAGAAAGAACATTCCATCAATCCGAACGAGGGTTGGTTTTGCTATTTCCATATTGAAGGTCTTCGAAAATGCCAACGCGATACGCATTTAGCTTTCATTGCTGCGTGATGAAATGCGCCACTTATCTATTATATTCTCCAGCATGGGTTGATTGAATGGAAAATTTGGTTGGTAAAGAACTTTCTGGTCACTAGTAATACATTTAAAAAAATCTTGATAATTATACTATTTAAATGTAATGTAACAATAAAAACTCTTAGTATGAAACGGAAAGAAGTTTACTGACGAATGTACTCCTTCCGTTCCATAATTATTGTACAGTTTGAATTTTTATTTCTAGTTCAAATTGTATTAAAAGTGAAATCTCAAACAAGGACAATAATTTTGGGACAGGAGAAATAATATTTTTTTCACATTTGCCAATCAACTGGATGCGAATATAAAGCTGGGAGCAAATCAACACCATCCAGGGACAGTGTCCTAAATTCCATGTGCAACTGAGATCCCCACAGTGTGGCTACTTGTTGATACTTCCAAACAGCTACAACAATCACCCCCCATGTGATTTGCTTCCATGTTTTTTCCGTTTTTGACTTTTTTATTTCCCGCAAATCCTTTTAGCACTTTTTTCTTTTTCATTTTAAATTTTTGTAAGGCTGGACGACCATTCCATAAGGCCAAAAAATACTTGACCCCAAACCCATGAGAAATAAAATAATATTTTCTCTGTCTCAAAATTATTGTCTTGTTTGAGATCTCACTTTTAGTACAATTTGAACTAGAAATAAAAATTCAAACTGGACAATAATTATAGGACAGAGGAAGTATAAAAACAAAAGCAAACAAGTCAATTCTCTTTTCCTAATCCCTCACGAACTTAATAGTAGAAAAGTAGTACACTACACCGCCCCAATTGTTTTTCACCACTAGTATTTTCTAGGTCTGACTGGTTCATTATTATTAGTACTATGATAAATTGTAATCTTCCTTGGCCTATGTCAGTGCCATTTAATTTATACACTTCTTAAATAATTATTCAAATTAAATTTCATTTTTACCACAATTTATACTAAACAGGCGAAAAGCATGAAGCACCTAATGACAAACTGCGCTAATAAAGCTTAGTACACTAGTAGTGTTACTTAATGTTCTAACTAATCCAATGTACATGGGACGATTTTTCGGACAAAAGATGCAGTAAGGAACAACAACACATTTGTACCGTGTCGACTACAAATTATCACGCGTAGATGCCGATGATTAACTGAATATAATGCCTAACTAATTCCTCCGGTTCCTAAATTTCCCACACGACTAGTACTACTGGTTGTGGATTAGCTGTAAGCAAACATTTGAAATCAGAACTTTATCAATAAAGTCCCCGAAAATTCTCCAATTCAAAAAAAAAAAAAAAAAGGATGAACTTCCAAAGTTTGTTATCTAATAAAACAAATATCACTCACTATCAGCTACAATCCAGAGAAGAGAAAAAAAAATAAAAAATCGAAGAGAGCAAGAAAAATGGGGGATTTATTTGAATTTCATGCTACATTTTCAGGATTTGATTGATAGTGCAGGGAAGCTGTAAAGTTCTTATTACCAGGAGAGGAGGAAAGGTTCATCTAAGCTGTTGTAGACATTAATAATGAGATTATCATTAGTGACAGCCTCAATGTCCGGTCCAGGGAATTGTCCATTGATCAAAATCACCTGTTCCAAAAAAAAAAAAAAAAAAGAAAAGCACAAACAAAAAAATTCAAACCAAATATAAATTTTTAGATCAAAACACACAAATCCATCGTCATCGTTCATAATAGAAAATAATTTTGGGACGGACAGAGTAGCATCTTAAGAAGAGGGCGAACCTGTTGATGAGCACCAAGTAGATCCCTATGAGCGTAAGTAACATTCCACTCGAAGAATCTGTAAGGGTTCTCAGCTTCAGCAATGGCGGCAAAAAGTGCAACCAAAGTTGCAGTAGTAAATAACAAGGCCGCCAATTTTGAAAGCGGCATTTTCGGGATAATGTAACTCTGTTTCTCCCCTTTTAATTAAGTTCAATTTTGGCGAAGATTATGTGGAAGAAAATTGCAGTGATTTGAAGAAGAGTAAAAAAAAAAAATAAAATGGAGGAATAGGGGAAAGAAAGGGATTTGGAATTAAAAGAGAAAGTGTGGGAGAGAAGAAGAAGAAGGGGGCCGGTGGTAGGAGGGAAGTGAATGATGGAGAAATGGGGATGGCACCACATTTAAAAGTGCGGTACAGAGTTTATAAAAGGAAAGAAAAAACACACAGTCACACAGTCCCACTTATTTTGAATTTTGATTTTCCCCTTTTTTTTTTCATTTCAAATAATAATCAAAAGAAATGTTCTTAGTTACACTGCAAGATGAATGACGTAATGTAGCATGATTAAAAATTAAAAAAATTAACAATTTTTTGTGTTTTCATAGTTATGCAAATTAGTAGTGTTGCAGTACTTCACAACAAGGAGTCAAGGAGAGAAAATTATCAATAAATGAATTTTCTTTTCCTTATGATTATCAATAAACTCTGGAAAAAATGTGAGAGGCTAAGTACAAATTAAAGCATATGAAAGAAAGAAAGTGGTAGGGAGGGAGAATAAAAACATCAAACACATATGAACTCTGATGTGATTGAGAGATCTGTCGGGATCATACATGAAAAGGGTAGAAAAAGCGCAAATAGATCGAGCGGGAAAAATAATTTCTAAAACTTTTTACATGAAATTAAACATGATTAATTTGGATCTTAAAAACTTAAGGAAAGGATAAAAGAGCTTAAACTGGAGGGCGTCGGTGCAGGGGTCCACACGTGGAACAGTGGATGGACCCGTGTTATGCTTATGCTCCCACATGTTATTTGTTGTTTTGGTCTTACTATTACTACTGTCACCTGTGACTCTTGTCGGAGCATGGAAGAAGACGGTGGTTTTGTGGCGGCGCTGCTGTGGGTGGGGGGGATTTTTCATTGTTTTTGGAACGCCATGCAGCCACGGATATTGCATGTGCTCGAGGGGAATTAAACAGTAGGGGGAGCCCACATAGACGTAAATACACTATGTTCGTTCCCCCTTCCCAGCACGTACCTTGAAACACTTTCCAACTTCCTCACTAGAGGAAGTCTAGGAGATGGGTAAAAATTCAAGAATCAAACTTTAATAGCAACCAACGAACCAATCATTTTACTAGTATTTTCGGGATCGATTTTTTTGTTACTCACAAAACAATGTGTAAAGATAGAATATGATAAGAGTAAATGTTGTTTTGTGATGTGAAAATAGACTTAGTCCAATGATAGAGTTCGACGAAATTAAGAATTTAAGATGTCATTCTTCTGATATTTGGTACTCTTTCAGTTATAAAATTATTATCTAGTTTGAGTTTTTAATTTTAGTAATACAAATTGAATTAAAAATAAAAAATCAAATTAAACAATAATTTTAAGACAAAAAAAAGTATCATAAGCTGGACTGCACATTTTGGTTACTTGACGCATAAAGTTTTGTAACGCTGAAAGAATTGAACAGTTTTGCCTTTTGAATATACAGATTAGTAGAGTAGGTAGTTATTATTATTGCCATTAAAAAGACAACAAAGATGGAGGGGGTGATATGATGATAGCATTCACCGTTAAAAGGAATGCTTAATTGGGTATACTTGTCTTGCGGGTGAAGATGTTCTATAGAGTTTAGAAAGAATACGGTAATGAACAATGATGATGCAATTACGTAGGAGTATGGCAATGTTTTCGCTCACATGGCAACTTTTCGTGTGGGGCTGCGGGCAACATATGAAATATATGAAACTGAGAATTTGATTTTATAGATCTCCGTTTAAATCTTTCTTTTCCTCCAGAAGTGTGTGTGTGTGTGTGTGTGTGTGTTTTCGAAAAAAAAAAAAAAAGGTGTCTTGGAAAATTTTAGTGGGTGAAAAAACAACAATGAAATCGTACTCGTTACAGAAAATTACTATCACAGTGTAAAATGATTAGAGCTGGAAACAAACAAAACATAAACAAAGAAATCAAAAGTCAGTGTTCAAAATCATGATGGTTGGATTAATTAGCGCGGCAACTTGATGGAAATTGAAAAGGCCACTACTCCTTATCTGCATTGATTCATGCCAACACACAAACAGGCACACCGAGAGAGGAGAGAGATGGATTTGAAATTGGGATTGGGGGAAAATATTGAATGCGAAAATGGGACAATGACAAGTTCCAATTTTGTTGTGATGGTGGTGGGGAAGACTTGTTTCTACTTACTAGAATGGTCTATCCATCATCCACACCAACTTGGCCGCAATTAGTGGCTTCTCAGAATATATGTTCTTCATCTCTGAAGTTGGTACACAAGTAAATGGAGTCCCAAAATCAATCACCCTTATTTTTTTGTATTAAACTTACAAAAACTCAACATAACAGATGATGACTTTGTTTTGGAATTTGGACTAATGCATCTGCTTTGTCGACAAACTCGTTTCTGGCTTCAGATCGTTGTTCTAACTTTGTTGTAGATCTGTTGTTACTCAATTCTCAATATTAAAAGATAGGAAAATGATACTACCCCATGCTTTCCATTTTTTAATCCAAGGTTCCTGTACTATTTTTACCTTGACAAAATGAACATTCAAAATGGAATCGAGAAATTGAATTTAATCTCTTGATTTCCATGTAATAAGACCTAGCTATAGTTACTTGACATAAATTATCGTAATGCTGGAATCCAATCAATGACTGTACTCAAGAATTTAAGCTGATGACAGAACCAAATGGGAATATAAAGGCGAGGCCAAGAGAAATGGTTTTACTGCACTAACTTGTGTTGCCTGATAATAAACAAACAAACAGTAGGGAAAGTGGTTGCAAAAGGCCACAGGAAACGTGTCTTAGAAACAAGAACACTCTAAATACACTCCTTTACTTTTGACATTTGAAGAATTTTCTCGAGTATTTGACATACTATGAACAAACTCACTCAATCAACCCGTCCATTTATCAACACCATAAACCAAATTAGGCTACTTCTAGATCAGTTTCGCAGCCTAACTGCATAAGGAGAAAATTTGTTAGAAGGAAATATTTGAACCTAGTCACATTCACATTTTCCTGATTTGCAAGTTCAATAAACTGATTGATAACTCAGCCATAGTCTCGCATTTGTAACCTCTGTTCTTTTCTTCTATGCCTATGGTGGTTCCTCAGAAAGCCCATGATTGAGACAGTAGCAGCAATCTATGACCAACCAACAAGTAGCTTCTGTGTTTAATTTATAGCAAGTACAAAAGGTGTTTGGTTATCCTTTTGCACTAATAATCTGACATTGCAGTAAATACTACAGGCTGTTTGGCAATAAAAAAAGGGTCCATTCAAAAATCAGCCACCATATCCAAATTCTACCGACACTATCTTGCTTTTCTTCTTTTCATTTTTGGTTTTTTTAAACCACTCTTTTACAGCCAAGAGTCTGCTTTTCCATTTGACTATTAAATCTACTAGGTAGGTTTCCCAGTTCTATCTACCACTCTTTCAAAATGTACCAGTCCAGCTTATGTATGTATGTAATTCCATTGGTATCTTTAAGCCTAAAGGATGCATGATCACCATTCAAAAAAATGCAATCATGGTACCTTAACCTACCTAATAAATAAAACAAACAGTAACAATGGACATTATAATGTCGAACCAAAATTCTACTAAAACAGACGGCATAGGGTAAACATAAGAACAAAAACTGAATCTTGGAGATTTAAATCCTCTATTTTAAATTCAGGCCGCATCCTGTACTTAGAAAACCATCTACGTAGAGGCAGCATAATGAAAACCAGAGTCGACCCTAGCTGATCAGCCACAGGGTGATGCACAATAATCCAGTTTATAAATGTGATTATTTCAAATAGTTTACTACAGAATGGTAGCTGACTGCCAAAGGGGTTATATTTACATCAGTAACATGCAGAGGAGCTACAATAAACATATGCCACAACATTTGAGCTAATAGATGCTTAAAGCCAACCCAAGGAAAGAAAAAAGACTAAACGAGAAGGGATGTAAAGGTTTTTGCTGGGATGACAAAGAATTGCATAAGCAATATTCATCCCAAACAACTGTTACCACTATCCCAAGAATTGCTTAAGAAATGGTCATCCTAAATAACTATACCATCAAAAAATTGAATCAGGAACTCGAAATAAAAAAAAGGTAGATCAATCAAAGAAAGAATGAAGCGTGGAAAAAAAAAGGGTACATGAAAGTAACAACAGAGCTGAAAGACGAAATGAAGCAGCAGCTAATTAGCTCTCGACATGAATAGATTGTTTATAGTGTCCTAAGACGTTAAATAATAAATTCTGAATAAATCAGCAATGTTCCCCTTTCACAAGTAAGCTCAATCCCACTACCCTATATAAAATCACATAAAAATTCATGATAGAAATGGAATCCTTTAAACCCTCGAGCGCATGAAACTCAAGCTCAGCTCTTCCAAAAGAAAAACGGGAATCATTTACTAATAATTAAGAAGACTAAAAACTGTTTAAAGTAAAAATACTTGTTAGAGTTGATTGATTCATTTATCTTCTTCGCCAAAGAGGCGGCGGAGCCTAGCAGCGAAACGGCCGGTGGAATCAAGAGCAGCTTCGTCAAGAAGGCTTTGTTTGATGTGATTCATGCGGTTTTGAAGGCCTTGTTGTTCTTCTCTAAGTGCGGCCGCATCTTCTTGGAGGTCGTGGAGGCGGTACTTCTGCCCCAGCGATCTGAAGCTTAGTAGCAAGATTCCGGTCATCAGGCCAAACTGTAGGTAGCTGTGTTTTCTTTTCATGGCATTCGCGAAGAATCCAGGTGTCTTTTTGGGCCTTTGAGCGGCGCCGTCAACGGCGGAGCTTAGTGGAGGAGCCATGGGTAGAACGGAGAAGCCAAAAGTTTGACTTGTGATACTACTGAGAAGAACCGTGAATCATTTCTTCCTCGGCCGAGTAAAATGGGCTCGTTTAGTTTGCCCGCTCAAGCCCATATATTACTTGGGAGAAAATGCGGTTCAAGCTTGGAACTCAAATTATTCAACGGGCTGACTAATAACACATTAGGTAGATGGCTCGTTGGGCTGCAAGTGCGGTAACAACACTTTAAGAAGTCCTAATTATATAGCACAAAATTTAAACTAACTTTATGATTAATTTGTCACTGGTAGAGTACCATGGAATCGTGTTTGCAGTTAGAATGGTTGTATTTTTGTCTAAATATAAACCCGTCCAAAAAAAAAGAGTCATGTTTGTTGGAGACTTGGATTAATATTATCACATGAATCTTATACACTTTTGACCATTTCATTTGGCGAGGTGAACATTATTGCAATACCATAAGATTGGCAACTTTGATTCAGTGTTTGTTCAGCCCGCAAAATGCATACGTTGATCTATGTGGCATTTTACTAAAAACAACAAGGCAAGTTACAGAGAGGCAGAGAGGAGATGCAATGACATTCAAACAATCAAAGCAGGAAAACTCCTCCTGTCAAAGGTTAAAAAGATAAACAAAATCTAAGAAATGACACTTCAATGTATGTAAGGTGCTTGATTCTCTCGGTGTATTAAGCTAAATATCATGCTCTCCGGAATATGTTTCCCAGCCCAGCCGGTTGAACCATGGAGCTATAAATACATAACCCATGAAAGAAACCAGTACTAGCATATTAGCAAGACCAATGACCCCTTGCACTTATAGTCCATCATCCTTGAAGTGGTCCATAATGTGAAGCAGTCCGTCCTTATTCCACAAAATATTGTTGGTGCCACAATGATTAGAAATCCAAACTTCCACATTGCTTGCTCTGAATACTATCTGTTGTTCCATTGCGTTGTTTTATGCTCTTGCTTGTTTCATGGTTAGCCCCCCGGGTTCTCCCAATACCGAGCTTTGGTAAACCGCGATTGAGGCCCTCCAGCAAGACACATGCTTTACACCATTTCTGCAGATATTCACAAACACCTAAGCAAAAAGCTATTGCAGCCCTTGTACAAGAACATGGTAACTACATGACAGAAGTATCAGAGAAAAGCATGGAAAAGAAGAATCACAAAAATGTTCCGCGATAAGATAGAAAAGGTAAAGGATAGACAGACAATAGTTTACATCAGCGCATACAAAAAGTTTTCACATTTCACAAAGATGAAAGATGGCACTCAAAGATTTAATTCTTCCGAAGAAGAAAGTTCAAATACTTGGATCAATAGATCGAATTAGATGCAGCTGATTAAATAATAATAATAAATACCTGACTCGAAATATAACCACAGCGTTCACAGTTTCCCTGCTCAGGCATTTTTGTCGAAGTTGAGATCCTAAAATCCTCGCCTGACTTAATAATATCCAAAATTGCTCTAGGCCTGAAAGGATTGATACATCATATTAATAATCTATGATTGGAAAAGAAAGATCGCCCGAGATCATCATGCAGAAAGATTAAGAGAAATATAGATCTTGAGTTTAATAGAAGAGCTCTTCAGAATAAATTCACAGGCCGACCTGATTCTTTCTAGATCCTTGATGAATTCTCGAGCAAACCCACGGTAAGCATTGGGAGAGTAAATGCCTGTTCAGTTACAAACTAGATTTTCAAAAGCACAAGAAACACGGAGTGGAAAATAGAGAGAAATGGCCACGAGAGAAATAGATGGAGAACAAGAAGGGCTTCACAGTAAGCCTGCTACGTTAGGAAAGATGGAAAAATAAAGAATTGGAAACTCACATTCAGTGGAGAAATAGTCCAACTTTTTAAAGTAAGCATACGTGAGCAGTAGTCAAGGTTGTCCAACAAGAATCAGCAGAAAAGAAATCATAATCAACTGATACACATGCTCCAAGGAAATCCACCAATGAAAGTAGAGTAATAAAGAAAAGGATATATGACAATTTCTTTCTCATAAGTGTACTTAAAAGGCTTGCATCTCGGAATTGGACCATCTTCTCCTGTAGTGATAGATGTGCATCTACTCAATCTGATGGAGAAAACGACAATGCTAAAGAGGGACTGAAGCATGTAAAAAAGAATCTTAGCCAGTTGAAGCCACAAATAGATTACCTGGCAATATCACCTCGTAATATGTTTAAGAGCACTGTTTCAGCTATGTCATCAGCATTATGTCCAGTGACTAGCTTATCTACCTTCAGCAATGCTGCACCACGATCAAGAGCCTTTTGTGGATGGAGAAAAATTACAATTGTTAGACAGGATGAAAAAAACATCCTAAGAACAATTCAAATCAGTCAAGTATCCTGAAGGTAAATGAATGCATGAAGTGGAGCTTTTGCTTCACTGGGCATTAAAATGTCATGTATATTCAAAATCCTTTACACTAACAGACCTTTTTGAATCAGAAATTAAAGTGTGCACAAATTAACACTTCGTGCATGCTGAGGGTCGATTCTAGTACCTGCCGCCTAAAAACGCCGCAAAAAGTGCAGTTATTTTTCATGCCTATCAGCTTTACTATCTCATCCATTGTCCAGCCGTACAATTCCTTGTAAGAAACAACTTTAAGAGGAAGCCCGTACTGCAAAAACGAAGGAAACAAGCAGCCATAAAAGCAGAGAAACAGATCAGCAAACAACAGTGGGTACAACACACAAACTTCCAAAAAGATCAGATGAAATACATTAAAACATTATTAAGAAACCTGGATTTCATTTCTTTTAACAGTTTCAAGAGAGTCATCCCGGTATCCTGTAATGCCTTCATCCACTGAGAGAAGAAATAAATCCAGGCCATAGTTGTGCCTACGATTCAGTTCTGACAATACATAAGCAAGAACTGTGGAATCTGCAGGGTGGGAAAAATTATCAAAAGAAAGAAACAAGATTCTGGCTAATATAGCTCACCCACATTAATTCAATGAGAGCAACGGAGAATCGATATAAAGACTGTAAATCGCCTTACTGCAAAAAGCTCTTCTGATATGTATCAATCATAAGCAATCGTTTAAATTTACGTAAAACCGACTCTTTCTGATTCTAATCTGCTGTCAGTATCCAGTTCGTGTTATGAGTCTATGTTTGCTAACATGATACATGGACCAAAAATAGAAAAAAATGCATTAGGCCCTGATTCTAGTGATCAGTTATCAGTCACTCCACAGTAAATGCATACCAGTATGTTTTTTCCCCTCATTCATTCTTTATCTTTTCTTTCCTTCTCTTTCAACTAAGGCCCGTATTCAAAACATAAAAGCTAAGCAGTAATGTCGGAATTTGTGTTGGTTCAAAGCTATAATAGATTAGCTGAATCCACAGTTTAATCGTTATCACTGACCTTTTCCACCAGAAGCTCCAATGGCGACACGTTCAGAAGGTTTAAAGAGCTGGTTATCCACAATGACCCTGTGGATTTCTTCTTCAAACACAGCATAAAAACACTCCCTGCATATCTATTTTGGGGTTTTTTTCAGCATAAAAAAAACAGCCGGAAACTTTGAAGCGAAAACGGGCATCGGAAACTGAATTAGAGAGAGAAAATTTTGTTTCGAGAGTGAACATAACCGAATACCAAACTTACTTGTTCTAGGGTTTTAGGGCGTTTCAGAGCAGCTCTCTTCTGGTTGCAGATTACACATAGCCGCCCCTTAGGCTTAGCCGCCGCCGCCTCTCCTTCCATTCAGTCCCGGAAGGCACCTAATCTGCCGAGCTATAAGATACAATTAGCGGCCAGCGCCGCCGCCTGTGGCTTGCTTAGCGGGAACCGCGCCGCCGCGATGGAAGCTTTTCACAGATTGTTATATGCGTCTACCTTGGACTTTGAACGGTTGAAGGCCACCCGCCAACTTTCAACGACGTCGTGAGGTAAAAATCCTTTTGAATATGATGACTACTTATATTTTCCTACTTGTCTTTTGTATATTAAAAAAAAAAATTATTTGTCTTTTGCAAGTCCATTCCTTTTGTCGGAAAAATTGGAACATCTACTCAAATTTTTACATGCGTCGTCAATTTTACTTTATTCTTTTTCGGTTAATCAATATTAACCTAAATTATCCAACCGTTAGCCGATTTTGTCTAATTTGTTATTTTCCGTCTAAATTAATAGAATTTCTATTTATTTTAATTATAAAAATACCCTAATAGTTTTAAATATTTATAAAAAGAACTTCAAAAATTTACAAAAATTACAAAATAGTCTTTTTCTGTTTTTATTTAAATTTTTCTTTTTTTTATGTCTTTTTACTATTTTTCATAATCATAAAAATATACTATATGATCTTTTAAATAAATAATTTATTTTTAAACACTACAGTACAAATTTATAGATATACATTTTGTAACTCATGATTGATTTACATAAACATATTAATTTTTTTAATAATATGGCTAGAAAATAATGATATTATTCTTTTAATCCGTCTTTTTCAATTTAAAGAATAAAGATTTTTTTTACTAAAACTAATTTTTTACAAAAAATAAAAACATTTAGCATAGATTAAAAAAATATATATATTAGTACATTTTAATTTATTGTAAATTAACTAAACAGACTATAGATTATGTTACCAATTAAAAAAATTATTAAATTAAAATATAGGGTACTGTCTAGTGTTTAGGGTGTTAAGTTTCATGAGAGTAGATATAAGATTAATTGTCGCCAAAGTATTTCTAATCGGGAGAGTGATTTTACCCACGTTTAAGTGGGGTCCACTAAAGGTAAGAGGGTTGCATAGAATGGTTAGGTGATTTAAGATATGAGATGATTAAAACTGTGTTCGAGGTTCGATTCTCACTGGAGAAATCTATTTTTTTTAATGTAAAGAAAAGGTAGAGTCCAGTACTAGAGTAGATTTTTTTAAAAAAAAAATATTTCCTACTAAAGTTAGATATATTAATTCTCAAAACATTATCACAAAATGTTAAACTCTCGCAGTAATAAATATACATATTTTTCATAAAATATTTTGTACATTTTTGTAAATGCCAAGACACTATATTCTTGTGTTGGGCCAACGTAAAACGAAATAGGTGTTTTTTTTTTTTTTTACTTTCAGTGGCCTTTTAAAAAAAATTAATATTTTAGTTTTGATTTCTTTTTAAATTTTAAAATACAATCTAAAGTCAGTTAAATTAAATTGTAATAATACATTAAAGTATACCAATAAATTCTTTTTTAATCTATGCGAATTGTTTAAATTTTTTTGAAAAATTAGTATTAGTTAAATAATCTTATTCTTTAGATTGGAAAAAATAGATTAAAAAATAGTATTATTATAAAACCATATTATTAAAAAAATTAATATTTAAATTAAACATGACATACAAATACGTAAATCAAAAGGTTGGATGGCCTATCGTCGCCACTGATAACAGTTGACTCAGAAGTATACCAGGTCACCGGAGAATGTAAAGTGATGTACTAAAGCTTAATCTCTAAACATTGTGAAAGCTTCAACACAAAATAAAAAATCCTCAGCCCGGTAGGGGTTCTGGAAACTTCACCAATAATATAACCCTCATTCTAAACTTTTGTACAAAGGGTACTGTACTCCAGATATACAGATCAATTGTTGTCAAAATGTGCAAAATAGGCCACTTCGTTTACCTTCTACCAAGAACAAAGACCCCAATTCCAGATTAATACTACTAACCAAGACAACAACCCACAACAATTGTGGTACTACTATTACAAGTTACTTTCGTCCTGAACTCGCTGCTGTATATCTTGACGCAACATCTCTATAAATTCCTGCAAATAATGAAAAAGCACGTTAAACTAAATCTTGGCTGTAACTAACAGCAAGAAGTACAGAAATTTTGCAGACTGGAATTCTCACATCGGAGAGCCCCTCCACGCTTGATAGTTCATTCACAACATTTGACTGGTTGCTGCCACCTTCATACAAATGCATAGCATTTTCAATCAACAATCGGAATATTTCTTCAGGCGGACTCTGTTGTTCAATTCCTTGTACCACTTGTTGGAGGTCAACCTGCTTGGAAATAATAGGAAATCTCAGCTACAGATCAAAGCAACATGAAGAATGCTCAGGGCTAATGTTGCTGCCCAAATTAAGTCATTATTTCTATCTGTAAACACAAAATTCTATGATCAAAACAATCGATCACTGAACTGCACATATGCCAGCAAACAAAAAATGTTGCACCATACCCAATGACCAATTGGAAGTTACAAACCTGAGAATTTTCAACAATGGAAGGAACCTCTCCCCTTGGTCTACTCTCCATGCGATCTGAGCCAACGGCAAGGGGCGAAGGCCCCGTAGAGACACCGCCAAGAGCCTGAGAAACAATGGGCATCATCTGTTGGACCATTCTTGACAGATCAAAACCACCACCTTGACCTCCACCCAAACTGGCCATCATGTCTCCAAGATCGTGACTGTCCATTTGTTGAGCTATTTGATTGACTGTATTACGCATTGCTGGATTCTGGGTCATTTGTTCCATCATATTCCTCAATGCATTGGGTGAACCAATACCCGTCTGCTGTGAAACCCCCGCCAATAAACCATTCAAAGCAGGGCTTTGGAGAACCTGACTCATGGCATCCCCTATGTCTAACGAGGCATCCGCACGTTGTCTTGCAGATGCACGGTTTGTAACTAAACTGGAAGGTTGTGGGGCCTGTCCTGCATTCCGCGAATCTCTATTTCTTGCTGCAAATGATGCAAGAGACTGCAGCACCTGTTGTCCAGCAATCCTTGATTCATCCGACTGGCTAGAAGTAGCCATGGGATCATTACTTTTGCCTTGCGATCTTGGCTTAGCTCGCCTCTGGTCCAATAGGTAGTAAACATTATAAGTAACAATATACACAACAGTGTCTAAGCACCTACTGGTCCATCCTATTCTAAAGTAACTTTATACCTGTGAGCACAATAACCATAACCTATCAAATTCACCTTCTACATTAAATTCATTCCAACTGATACGTCTATTATATCATTCAAACATGTCAAGACGAGTTCACAGACACCTTTTCCAAAGGGTCCATCATGCAAATAATGATAATCCACTATGTAAATAGAAAATGATTTACACAAAACCAAGTAAAAAAAAAATGGTGATATCCAGAGATGGGGAAGTCTGAACCAGCATGCATTAAAGTTTTACAGGTGGAAAACTATCAATTACCCAGGAAAGTATGCAGCACAGCTACTATAAACCCCAGAATGAACACTGTAACATGTGGTAAAATGAAATTGTATTTGTGACACCAAAATGAACACCTAATACATAACCTACCTTGGCCTCCAATCCTTTGAGGCCCAATCCAATAGGAACGGAAGAGGAATCCTGAGAGTTACCCCTCTCCTGAGTCGAACTTGAAGGCCCATCGGTCACCTTTTGGGTGCCTAATGGTCCAGATGCGTCTCCAACTGGACTGCTAGAAGATTCAGAGAGCTCCTTGGCAATTTCACCCTGCCCATTGCAAGACTGGTCAGAAATTTGCAGCTGTCAGTCCATAACGAATTAGTAATATTAGAGAAGAAGAAAACAATGATATATTCTTCTCCATGCTTGTTAAACCATACCTCAACATTATTGGTATCTAGAACACTAGCAGGTGGTTGACTAGTTTCACTAGACCTACTAACACTCCCAGTATCAGATCCAACAGCTCGCTCTTTAACTCCTGAATTATCAGCTTGACCTTTTGTACATGATAAGAAAACATCAGTAAACACAACAAGATATGAAGATTCGGTCCCGGGTCACATAAAACACCAAATAAGGCTTGCAATTATATTCACCTGATGGGGCTGGGTTTTCGCTGCTAAAAGTTCCAGCAGAGTTTCCCACAGGCAGATTGACTTGAGATACGACACCAGGTCTTGGAAAGAAGTCTGCTGGAGAGAGGGCAATACCAACACTGGGCTCTGCAGTACCCGAAACGGCAACACCAGCAGGTCGTACCGGAACAGCTGCAACATTGAAATTTCTCAAAGGATGAACTCGAGATTGACCAGAATCACCAGAACCAGAACCAGATCCATCTACACGTTCCCCTTGAGTTCCTTCTGCATTACTGTTTCTAGTTCCAACTCCCGAAACAAAAGGAGGTAGCGATGCCCCTGTTCAAATTAATACTTTATCAAGTCTGCTTCATGGATGAATGATTTCGTGAAGCCATTCTAGAAAATTAACAACATTCTCCATTGACATACCAGCATGTATATGGATATTTACATTTCTCGGAGTGCTCCCGAGCCCAATAGGTCCTAACATCCCAGAATTTGGTGGAACAGCTGTTGGACCACCAAAAATGGAGGTGCTTTGAAGGGGAAATGGCTACAGTAAATAATAAAGATCAACATTAGGGAGTTCAATATAAAGCCCCTTTCTAAATATCCACAGGCTTGATTGGAGAAAAATAAGAAAGAAAAAACAATTAGGTCTGCTTCAAGCCATCTTCAACACTTCAATAATAATAAAATCCCATTGCATTTTCGGCTTCCCTCCAGCTGGAGTCCCTATCCATAGCCGTTCTTACCAACATGCTGTCTACCTTCAAATCCAAATATCTCCCCTACCCCCAAAAAAAAAAAACACCTAGATCTATACTTCTAAGAAGATTATCTTAACCAAATTTGCAGATCAAGCAACCAAGAAAAAGGTAATTTACGAATTAAAGAGTTTTGGGTTGAAAAAATGTCCAGCTGATTCCAGACCACCTTCAAATTCCTTGTATTATCTAACAAAAAGTTTTTTTATAAGTGATTCTTGAAGTACCTTCCAAAATCTAACTATTGCACTGCCCACCCGATTTCAGCCCTTATTATGTACCATAACTTAATTTTCAAGCCCTTATTATTTACCAACATGCTGTCAAGCTTCAAATCCAAACATCTACCTTCCAATCCAAACATATCTCCCCCACCCCACCCCACCCCAAAAAAAAAACACCAAGATCAATACTTCAAAAAAGATTATCTTAGTCAATATTTGAAGATCAAGCAACGAAGAGATAGGTAAATTACGAGTTAAAGAGTTCTGTGTTGAAAACAAGTCCAGCTCATTTGGAAACCTTCTTCAAATTCCTCATATGAACTAACAAAAAGTTTCCTAAAAGTGATTCTTGAAGTCCCTTCCAAAATCTACTACTGACTGCCCGCCCGATTTCAGCCCTTATTATCTACCATAACTTAATTTGCAAGCAAAAAATAAACAATAAAAAAATAAAAAGGAGAGTTTAGCACGATTTTAAGCAGACCATTCCAGCATGAACGAAAGCATAAAAATATCAACACAAAAAGGTGGAAATATCACAAAATCACCAACATTGAGTGAGACAAACCTGAGCCATAATAGGATTTGGACCAGATGGGGATACATAAACAGCAGGTCCAGCATTTACAAAAGATTCGGCCTGAAATAATTGACAGCATAAATGACATGCCTTAAATACATCCACGGGCTTGTTTAAAGTTTACACAGAAAATGTCAATACCGGAGATTGACCCATTCGCAGGGTCAACATTGTTCTCCCAAGCTCTAGGAGCAAAGCACCTAAATGTTGCATCGCAAGACCTACTTGAATTGATTCATTCTGGATTTGTGCCCTTACAGTTGGATCATTAGAACCTGCCTCCTGCTCCAAACGACCTGCAACATGCTACATAGTTGCAGCAATTTTATGAACAGCAGAAACCAGGAAATTAAGCACCACATCAAGATACATAGTGAATGGGAAAAGGATGAAGCTCTAATAATGAGGTGTAGTTTACACCTAACGGAAAAACACAAGTTCCAAGGCAAAATCCCAAACAAAATTTTAGCAAATAGACAGCCTAAAATGCCGATAACCACGGTACCTCAATTCTTTTTCTTTCATTTTTACGCCAGCCCAAGGAATAAACTCAAGCGATTTATGTTAAACAGATAATTCAGACAAAAGATCAAATCGGATTATACAAAACACATAATCGCCACCTTTACATAAGCTATACAGTAACCTGCCAACACAGTAATAAAAAATAGCACAGCATGATCGCAAAATGAGAGAGAATAACATGCATGATATAATATAGTGCACAGGGTATAGTGCATACAGATAGTGCTGCAATCCCCTGACCACCAATAAGATGCTGGATACGTCGCAAAACAATGCTCAATGCCTCTGCTGATGGGATACCAAGAGGGGAGTAAGGAAGTGCATTCGTGCGTGAATTATCAGTGCTAGGAGGTGATTGGCTTGGCTGATACCCTATTATTAGAACTTATGATCAGAAATGCTTCAAGTTGCCATTGAACTTAATCATAGACAAGAATATAATATATTTCACCTTGCTCTGACATTGCCTGCTCCATACGGTTCACAAACTCACAAATTGTGCTCAGAGAATCAGGAATAGGCTACAAAAATAGAAAGGAGACAACGTTAAGAGACAACCAAAACTAACTCAAGAAAGAATCTCACGCATATTACATAACCACGATATACCATATTAAACGAAGGAATTGCAATAGCAGCGCCAACAGGAATTTGCACTACTTGAGGCAAAGATTGACCAGTAAAAGATTGTCCTGTCTGTGACGGGTTCACACCAGAATTTTGAGAGCCAGACCCATTTGTTGTTCCTTCAGCTCCATTTCTTTGGGGAACCTGAACAGAAGAATTGATAGTTATGACACAATAACCGACAACCAACAACTCAAGATTCAAAATCAACAAGAAGAGACTCAATATAGCCCAATAACAGGAACTGTTCTGATCTTTAAATGTTCCTCCATAGAAACTAATGGAAGGATCAAGAGGTTAAATTAGTGAGAAGACAAGTCACCTGTACACTGGGTTGCATACCAGGCTGGTTACCGATACCGAAAGAGTTTAAAACAGCCCCAATAACCTAAAAAGCACCAAACAAACCAGATAAGTTCACAAGCAATAAAGAACATCATAACATTTAAGTGAAAGGAATTGACTGGCTATCTCACCCGACTTAAATCTGGCATGGTGCCTTCTCCTTGCTCGCCAACATTAAAGGTCCCAAGAACAACACTGTGCGATATTTGGCCCACACGACCGCGTGGACCACCAACACCAGGTTCCTGCCCTGAAATTAAACAGATGCATCAGGAGAGAAGATAAAGCTAATGACTGACAGGAACCGAAGTGCACAAAGGTACCAAGAAATGAAAGGCCAATTACCAATCCTCCCGCTGTTGTTTGAACCAGCATTTGGACCAGATGACGGTTGTGATTGAGAAGGCTGCCTCTCAACTAAGTGTAATGTATGACCATTTTCCACATCTATGATAGTGTCAAGGTTTAACAATAAAATATTCCCTAAATGAAGCTCCATGCATAGAGACTACATCCACACTGAACGTATCTTGCAGAATCTAAGAATTTGTTATGATTAACCTCTCTTAAGTTGCAGGAAGTCATTAAAAGAAAATGAAGAAATGAGAAAGTTACTAGAAGGCAAACTCAATAAGCATCAATTATAAATTGCATAAAAGGAAATACAGAACATAAGACAACGAAGTTAACTTGTAGCTAACATAAACAATATCTACATTTGCAACAGATTAATGGCACTTCATACTAGATTACATATCCGTAATAACCTACGACATCATTTGCCAGTCATTAGTAGTCATTAGTACGACATCATTTATTTTCTTAGTATAAAGAAGACTAGAGGGTCTCTGTTATAGAAGAACATATCTGCTTGGTGCAGGCAAAAAGAAAAAAAACTTTAAATTAAATGACTCAAAACAAGTGCAAACTAAACTTCAAGGACTACTTAAAGTAGCCACCTGCAGAGCTTGTCGATATAAACATAGTGAGATGAAAATACCAATCGATGCACAAAGCACAAAATTAGCTAGCATCCCAATGGAATTTGTAACTCCCCACAAATGAATGGAACGAAGTAAGCAAAGTTTAAATAGTTTAACTTTAAAATTGCCCAACATCAAAACAGAACATTCATCATGGGCCTCCATAGGCAGGATACGATACTCAGAAAGAAGGTGTTCATCTTTCAGGACCTTGCCTCTAAAAATAAGCCGTTGCTGCTCTACCGGAAGGCCAACTTGACCAGCTATTTTCTCTTTAAATGCTGACACGAGCATCTGACAATCAGACAGACATTGAATCAGCTGGTATCAATGCATAGGGCGACCTTAATCACAATACATCAACGTGACATATAAAACTAGAGGAATACTAGCTGAAAGAATTAACAAAAGTGAAACTTCCCTCCCTATGATTAAATAAGCCACCATAACGCTGCAAACACTCTCCCACGAGAACAATGCTAAGAGGATCTCAAAAAACTATTCAATAATTTATGAAATCACACACACAGATTTAAATCCTTCTGCATGCCTGCCCTGTGTAATTTTCACGTCTAAGAAAGGCAACTTGGAATTAAAAAGATTGTCCATGTTGACATTAATTAGAATTACTCATCTTTGAATAAGAAAGTCAGGCTCAAATAAGGTGCATTTGCCCAATCTTTTCTAACCAATTTCACAACTGTCTCAGATGACAACAGTGTATTACATTCTTATCTGCAACGACGCTGTAGATCTGCGAATTCAGAGTTTTGATGTTCAGCTCCACAGATGAATCCGAACTACCATTTGATGCATCACTTGTGCTGGGTTGCTGATCCGCCATAGCAATACCTAATTAACAAACCCACAAAATCAATATCAATTTCAACCCAAAACTGAACCAAAAGAACTAACCACAAAATGTGTGAAAAAGTACAAAAACTCAGCTTCTAGGTCATCCACCAAAAGGGTTCCGTAAGCGAAAACCACACATCAGAAAACAAACAGCTGAGGTTTAACCATAACCAAGATCAAAGGTACACGTAGAAATTTATTATCCGTACCATTTTCTAAACAAACAGCAACACTTTTTCCATTCATCAAAACAAGAAAGGAAAAAGAAAAAACATTTTAAAAGCTGAACAGATAAAAATAGACACTTCAACTACACATACACAGATGAAAAAAGCCATCAAAGTTAACTATGCAAAACCACACGAGATCCCCACTAGGCAACTACTAAGAAGAACCAATGCATTTTCTCTACTACAAACAAATTAAACACTAGGCCCGGCGCGACTGAAAAGCTCTTATTTGGACGATCGAACCTACCCATTACTCCCCATTCTTGGAAAAACAATCCCCTCCCCCCGGAAAAAGACCAAAACGACTAGCCAAGACTAGGGTTTCGAAACACGATAATGTAATTGCAGATATCGAAAATACCATATGGAAATTGCAAAAGAAAAACGATGAATTAAAACCTTTCGAATGCAGGAAGATGGAAAATGAACCTACGATGATCTAGAGGTCACCGGAATAGCAACTTGAGATTAAAAAACGAGCGCAAGATTGACGACGAACGGTGAACTTTGGGCTGGAAATTAAAATTTCTTGAGAAAGGGGCTTCTTTTTCTATTTTGCAAGGAAGAGGGTTTTAATCTTTTTTTTTTTTTTTCAATTCTGGGTTATTTCGACCGCCTTGCTTGGTACCTCATCTCGGGGACGGCTGTGCCCAGTATCTTCCAGAAAGATCTAGATCCCCAGATTCAAAAGATGAATTTATATCACGCTTTTAAAATTTATCGTTTATTTTGCGGTAATCTTTTGGAATTGGACTAAACTGTATAAATGGTCCTTATATTTGTCCGAATTTAAATTTTGGTCCCCTACATCAACATGTATATGGATTGAGCCTTTACATTTCATTTTGAAACTTTTTTTGTCTCTTTTCATCGTTCGTCATCCATTTCTATCTTGATGATGATTGACCTCTACTAAGTCGGGGTATTTTGGAATGACACATATAAGATCAAAATAACAAATGTTTAAATGGTCCCCTACATTTGTACAATTTAAATTTTGGTCTCTACATCAACATGTATATGGATTGGCTACATTTCATTTTGAAACTTTTTTGTCTCTTTTCTTTGTTCGTCACCATTTCGTCTTGATGACCATTGACTTATAAAGTCGGGGTATTTTCGAATGACACATATAAGATCAAAATAACAAATGTTTTTATAATAAAATAGGATAAAATATTAAAAATTATTATTTTATAATAAAAAATTAAATAATGTAAACATAAAAAAAAATTAAAATGATTTCAAATTTCAAATTTTTTTTCACTTCCCACCTTTGTGGGTCCCACATGCCACTCAATTTCCTCCTTTTTTTTTTGCTACAGTAAAAAAAAACAAAGTTAAAAAGTAAACTTACCGTCACCCGTCAAAATTAAAAAGTAAAAAAAAACGGGTGAAGGTAAGTTTGCTTTTTAATTTTGATTTTTTTTTACTGTAACAAAAAAGGGAGAAAATTGACTAGCATGTGGGACCCACAAAGGTGGGAAGTGAAAAAAAATTTGAAATTTGAAATTTGAAATCATTTTAATTTTTTATTTTAATTTTTAAATTATTTAATTTTTTATTATAAAATAATAATTTTTAATATTTTATTCTATTTTATTATAAAAACATTTGTTATTTTGATCTTATATGTGTCATTCCGAAAATACCCCTGACTTGGTAGGGTCAACGCCTCAACGGTTATCAAGACGGAAATGGTGACGGAACAGTGAAAAGAGACCAAAAAAGTTTCAAATGAAATGTAAATGCTCAATCTATATACATGTTGATGTAGGGGACCAAAATTTAAATTCGGACAAATGTAGGGGACCATTTAAACATTTGTTATTTTGATCTTATATGTGTCATTCCGAAAATATCCCTAACTTGGTAGGGTCAACGGTCATCAAGACGGAAATGGTGGCGGAATAGTGAAAAGAGACCAAAAAAGTTTCAAAATGAAATGTAAAGGCTCAATCTATATACATGTTAATGTAGGGGACCAAAATTTAAATTTGGACAAATGTAAAAGACCATTTATACAGTTTAGTCTTTGGAATTGACCGGGAAAAAAAAAGGCAATTAGTACTAGTAGTAGTACTACATTTTATAGAGGGGTCAACCATTGGGTATTTGGGCTATTCAATTTGGACTTACAAATAAATATGTAAACATGAAGTTTAGCAGAAAATTTGTGGTGCCATCGAGTATGTTTATAAATGAGAGATAATAATCTCATTTGATCAAATGTATGTATTGTATTCCCTTCGAGAGATATGAATCTCATTTGATTAATGTGTGTATTGTATTTCTTCAGTTCCAAAAAAATAGTACTAATTAAATTTTGAAATTTATATGAATTTCAGTGCAAATCTGAAATTTTAATGTGAATTATTTGTTGAGACAAATGTAGTAATTTTTAAAAAATGTTAGATAAATTAAGTTTTTGATTTTTATTGTATGCCAAAAGTTGACGATGATTGTAACTTTGCCTTGAGAATTTGGCTTATTGTTTTGTTTTTTGGATGGTTTTTTCAGATGATTTTAATAATAATTGTCACATTCCAACATATGTTTTTACATTTTCAATACATCCTTTTACATTCCCAATACAAAAAAACACCTAAAAACACATATTAAAAAACCGAAACAAACATAAACTTGTCATCTTGGGCTTTTTATGCCACCACTTGGAACGTGGAAGCAGTCCAACAGCATACCACTGTTGTGGAGAACGTCCTTGTGTCATTTTCCGATCATCTTACCCTGTAAACTGTGAACTGTTCTTTTTTGTTCTCTAACTTGGGCCTGTCACCCATGTGTTGTTTTTTTTGCACCCATCTAAAATTATTCAAATACTATACATCCTTTTCTATTTTTGTTTGGTATAAACAAAAAGGGGGCATACAACATAGTGCATACCTAAAAAATAAATTACGGTATGTGTCAATCAATAATGAAATAAAAAAAAAAAAAGAAGCTATTGTTAGAGCCGTCAAACAAATGGTACCCTGTTCATCTTTTTATTTTTGGAAAGGATATGATGTACAATTTAATTAATGAAAAGATACTTGTTGTAGTATTATAAAGAGATTATTCTTTGAGTGTATTGTTTTAGACTTTTAGTAATTATATCAAGTTTATTCACTACATCACTTTGTCTCGTAATCGCAGATTTTTTTATATTCTTTCCGTCTAAAAAGAAAAGTTAAGTTAATCAATGTTTCAATCAAAAAATAAGACTCCTTCCGGTAACAAACATATCATTTTAACTTATATTTTATTATAAGTATATTTCGATTTGAATTAATCGTCGTAGTTAGATAGAGGTTTTAAAAATGTGATTAAAAATAAAATAAAATAAAATAAAATAAAGGGCTTTTTCTGATTAAATGCTCCAGTCATTTGCCATGACTAACGAGGTGATTCAGTCCAATATATGATTATTCAAGTTTTACAAAGTTTTAATTGGTTTGATTAGTACTAACCAAATTATCAAAATTTAGGGACGTGTGATATTGACTGATTAATTAAGGTCTGGCGAGGAAGACAAAAAGTGGCTTGATCATATCGGACGAACACATAGTTATCTACGAATTTTTATTTTTAAATAGCCGGTGTCACTTCTATATATTTGGTCGCATGAGGAATCTATTAAATAATAATATATCTTTTTCAATCAAATGTCAGTTTTCCCAATTTATATAGGCAAATTGGTTATCCATGTTCCGAGGGAATTTAATCTTAAATTTTTAGTACTTTATCTCTCTCAACATTATTATCCAATTCAAATTTTAATTTTTTGTTCAACATGTATTAAATTAAAAATTCAAATTAAATAATAATTTCGGAACGAAATGAGTATAATACATGGTCTTGTTCAAAGTTCAAACCACTTTATTTAGTATAAATATATAGTTCACAATATCTTTCGAGTAATAAAATTCTTTCAATTTTAGAAACAGCTTATTTTAGACTGGGATGAAGTATATTACTTCGTCCATCTTGAAAAGACAGATATGTTTGGATTTTCAAGTCTACAAATACAAATTGTATTAATGTTAAAAAAAAATAAATAAAACAATTATCCTGATATAAAGCAAGTAATATAATTATCAAACCAAATTGCGCAGAACACATCATAATTTTGTCACAACAATACTTTGCTGGTTTGGTACAAATTTACTACTACTATATCAGTTTTAATTACGTAGGAATTTTGTCCTGATTTAATGGTGCCAAAATAAATACTAATAAATGATAAGTCCCACTCCCATTTGTAACTAACTAATCACACACCTTCCCCTGTCGTCAAGCTTCAAACTTCCAACTTACTCTCAGACGAGAACAGATCCATTCGACAAAAAAACTTCGCTAATTACTAAAACGCACACTTAACAGCAACAAACATTACTTATTTAATCAAGTTTTTTCAAGTGGGAAGAAAGAAAGAATCAATCTGCGGCAAATGGATGTTGACTTGAGCAAGACTGCTGGAAAGCCCATTCGATGTAAAGGTAATCTGAACAAGATTCTTCTCTCCTTTCAATCGTGGGATTTTCAGACAAGTTCTATGTATTGCATTTACCATTTCTACTCAAAAATGCAGTAATTTATGTTGTATCTATATATCTTGAGAGCACTGTGTGTGTGTGTTTTTGCAGCTGCGGTGGCAAGGGAAGCAGGGGAGCCACTGGTGATAGAGGAAGTGATGGTGGCGCCTCCAAAATCCGGGGAAGTTCGGATTAAAATCATATGCACTTCACTTTGTTTCAGTGATGTTACCTACTGGAGACTGAAGGTATATAGTACATACATGAGTAGAACTTCCTGCTTACTTTCTCTGTTTTGATGGAGTTAAAGGAATGATAAATTTGAGGATTTTGATTCAAGTTTTTCTTTTTTGTTGTTACTATCTGAAGGTACCTCCTGCATGTTTCCCCAGAATATTGGGTCATGAAGCAGTTGGGTAAATGATAATTCTTCTTCACTCTCAGTTTGATTTACTTCTTAAATGTTCCTCTCCAAGTGTTGTCCATAGCCATTTTTTCAAAATTCCATGTTGTTTAAGAAATACAGATCCTTTTCCATTTCCTAAACTAATCATAAGCAGAAGGGTTGAGATGGTGGCTGTATTGTCTTTTTATGATTCTGCAAGGCTGTTTCTTTTAGTGGTGAGCAACATGAACAATTTGTGATCCAGAGGAAAGATAAGTTTAATGAAGTGACAAAAATATCTGGTGATGTTTGGTCTTTTTCCTGTACCTTTGATTTGAACGTAACATTGCAAATGAAATGGTTGGACCCCTGACTTCCAGGACTTTACTATTGTGAGAGCATAGACCATCTTCCTTCTTTCTTTCTTTTTTTTCTTTTCTTTTTTTTGGGTGCAGACCGTATTTGTGTTTTTTGATAGATCATTGTGACATAGGATCCATATCGATGATTTTAGGATAATTTATTTTGTTGTGTTACAATTATGAGTTAATATAGCTTTTCTGATTCTTATAAATATGTACTCAAAGGGTTGTGGAAAGTATTGGAGAGGATGTCCACGGGCTAAGCGAAGGAGACACGGTTGTCCCAATATTCTTGCCAGATTGTGCAGAATGCATAGACTGCAAATCCAAAAAGAGTAACATATGTTCGAAATTTCCATTTAGCGTGGCACCTGGAATGCACAGGGATGGGACGTCCAGATTCACAGATCTCAATGGGGAAATCATACACCATTTCATCAATGTGTCGAGTTTCAGCGAGTATACGGTCGTGGATGTAGCGAATTTGACCAAGATTGATCCTGCAATTCCGCCAAATAGGGCCTGCCTTCTTAGCTGTGGAGTGTCGACCGGTATATGTTGCTTTTTCACCAAATATAGGCTATTCACTAGTCCCCATTGCATTGCTGATAAGTGAAGATAATGTAGCATCTTTTCTGATGATTATATGAGTACTTGATTGATGTCCAGGGATAGGTGCTGCCTGGAGATCGGCAGATGTTGAAGCAGGTTCAACAGTTGCTATATTTGGTCTTGGAGCAATCGGATTGGCGGTATAGTTAAATCAAACTGCCTCAATTCTCTGTGCTTGTGTTGAAACCATAAAAGCACACCATTGATTTGTGTAATTATACACAGGTTGCAGAAGGATCAAGGCTCTGTGGTGCTACAAGAATCATTGGAGTAGATATAAATCCCGACAAATATGAGATAGGTAATGCAGTGATCATAAACCTGTCATCTACCTATTTCCGAGTGCAATCCAAACCGTCTTCCATTGTTTTGATTGGTTTTTGTTTCTTCGCAGGGAAAAAATTTGGAGTCACTGATTTCGTGGACTCAACAACTCTTGGAAATAAATCTGTGAGCCAGGTCTTTACTATACCCAAGGACTAACTTGATTCATTGTGTTTACGGAATGGAAGACTGACTAACTTGCTTTTCATCAAGAATCTTTGACCAGGTGTTTGTTCTTTCTCATTGGAATTTAATCTGAGCAGGTGATCAAGGAAATGACTGACGGAGGAGCAGACTATTGCTTTGAATGTGTTGGTATGGCATCGTTGGTTCATGAAGCATTTGCCTGTTGCCGAAAGGTAATAAAAATTTCATTCGTGCCTTTTGAGTACCATTCAGGCTACATACACTTGACCATGACTCCGGCGGAGTTGCAAAACTATTACTGGGAAGAAATAGCTAGAACTGAATGCAGTTCTGTTGTTGTTATTGACTTATTGTTGTTGGCAACAAATGTGAAACTTGGGTTCTTAGACCTGAAAATTTCTTGTAATACATATAATCTTCAGGGGTGGGGAAAGACAATTGTGTTAGGAGTGGACAAGCCAGGATCAGAGCTGACTTTCACCTCAGCTCAGGTACTTCACAGTGGGAAAACAATCCGAGGATCTTTATATGGAGGGCTTAAACCCAAGACAGACATCCCAACTCTGGTTCAACGATATTTGAACAAGGTAATTTAACTCAATTAATCATCTCCACATCACATGTTTCTGCAAAATTCAGGTACCCATAATTAAACTTTTTTTTACAGGAACTGGAATTGGATAAATTCGTGACTCATGAGGTGGGATTAGAGGACATTAACAAAGCCTTTGATCTGCTGCTTGAAGGAAAGAGCCTTCGCTGTGTGATTTGGATGGACAAATGAATGTACTGTATTGCCTTTTGAATATGTTCATTACAGAAGAAATAAACCAAGGCTTTTGTTTTTCTTTAAATAAGTACATTCTCTTTGTTCAACTTTGATCTCGAGATTGAGAATTGATGTTATTTTCTGTCTAATTGTCTCCTTATACATCGGAAAATTGTCAACTCCAATCCTATCACTGAATTAGATGGGCTCTCCATCCGTTCTTAATTATAAAGCACATATTTTTGAACTAAATAGGACAGAAGGGATTATGTGATTGTACTTTTCATAAGAAGTGTTACATCCGTAAATGGTGGTACATAGCCGCTGGTATTGGAAAAAAAAATGCCAGATTCAAATTAACGTCAAAATCACAGATTAATCAGGAATCAATTCCTGCTTTAATCTGAAGTTTTTAACTTTGGCCATTTGTCAATTGAATAATGGAATCATGAATCAACATGATCAATCCAAAGTATCTGCTTTGACCCTACCAAAGGAATGGCGGACAATATTACTTCAATCGGTTACATGATAACTTTTTGACGTGTGAGTCGCAGGCAGGATAACGTATCGAATTATCTGATTATTGATAGGATCAACTGTATCTATTACATTATATTAATGGATGGCAATATGGCATAATCAAATTCATATGAATCAATTTTGTTGTATTCTAAGAGGAAGCTCGAGGAAGAAATGATGATACTAATAATAATTATAATTCACTTGCGAAACCAAAAAAATGCAACAATGGGTTTTCAATTTTTTATAAAATTATATGTAGAAGCTTCATCAAGAGAAGTAAGTAATATTTAACACCAAAATTACAAAACAAACTTCGATAATTTTTTTTTTAATACATAAGCACACTAAAAGTACTTACATATAATTTTTATATACCATGCTCAATCAAAAAAACCAGGAAAAAAAAAAAAGAAAAAAGAAACTAAAAGGAAATCATTGCCACTCCATACTGGTGCATAAAGGAAAAGGCAAAAATCATGATGAAATGGCACACTGAAAACAGACAGGCAATCACACATTTGCCTTTTAATTCTTTTTCCTTCTACTTGATTTAATAAGAAGCAGCCTCCTTCTTCTCCTCCTTTTCCTTTTCTTTTTCCTTCTCATCTTCTGGCTTGGAATGATAGCCAGGAATCTTCTCTTTAATCTTCTCCAAGAATCCCTTCTTCTCTTTAGCCTCACCCTCATGAGCTGGGGGGGCGGCGGTATACTCCGGAGCCGCCGGCACCGGCACCGTGGCGCGGGAGCAGTTTCATCGGTCTTCTTGCCACCGGGCAACTTCTCCTTGATCTTATCTAAGAACCCTTTCTTCTCCTCTGAGGCGGCAGCTGGTTCATCGATCTTCTCAACAGGGACAGATGTGTCTGATTCATGATGATGATATTCCTCTGCTTTCTTCTCTTCTTTCTTCTGATCATCCCCTGAAATTTTGTCCTTGATCTTGTCCTTCAACTTCTTCTTCTTCTTCTTTTCACCTCCTTCTTCCACTTCTTCCTCCTCATCACTTGACTGAAAACCCACAATTAATCAACAATCAATATCAACTTCTTTTTTATATATAATTACAAAGAGATCATAGATGGTATAAATGATACGCTATCCGTTCTAAAATTATTATCCAATTTGAAATTTCACTTTTATCATAATTTGAACTAAAATGAAAACTGAGGACAATAATTTCAGGAAGGAGTGAGAAAATAATTATGTAAGTAATCAGAAGGTGGAATAAATATCAATACTTACGCTGCTGGAGCTGCTGCTAGATCGGTGAAGCTTCTGAAGCAAACCCTCGTGTTTTTTCTCAGGCTCTTCAGAAACTTGGACCTTTTCATTGAACTCTGAGCTCAATGCTTCTTCTTGAGGCTTGTTTTCGTCTTTCTTTTCTCCAAAACCGAACAAACCACGATCGGTGGTCTCTGCAACTCCACTCTGTTCATACTGATCAGCCATTTTTTTTTTTTTAACACTACTAAGAAAAGCTTGAAGAAAACTGAATGAAAAGAGAGTTTTTGGAACAACAAGCGAACCGAGATGATTAAACGTATGTCGAAAAGAGTTTGTGTAGAAGATGATGAAATGAAACTGATAGTGAAGTGAACCGAAAGGTGTTGGAGCGGGCTTTTTATAGGGAGTAATTGACGCGTTAGCTACGCGATTAAGATATATTTTTTAAACTACTAAAAGAAATAGTAAGCCCAAAGGGCGCGAAGCCCAATCAGGTCCACCCACAACAATCTAACCGACATCTACGTGGGTATTGTTTTTAAAGCGCTAAAGTAATAATAAGATGAAAAGCCTTTAACCGATTCGCAAATAGTTGCCGACGTATGTTAACTCGCTTGGTCGGTTTGACACGTGTCCACTTTTTTCTTTTTTTTTTTTAAGAAAAATTATTAAAATAGTATCTCTCAGGAATTCTAAAGGAAATAAAACTTTCTTGTTGTAGACTGGTAGCTCCATTTGCCAAAGTTGACATTTGTTAATTAGGTTTGATGCTCTCCAATTGTGATCGGTGACGTTTACATTAACCTGATATTTATGTTTGGCATTTATTTGTTATGCAATTTTTAAAAGATCATAGCTTCTTCTTCATATGACAACTCTAATTAACTATTGCTATTATGTTCTGTAAAACTTGGATCATAATAATAGAAATTCCTTGATGGACAGCTCGATAACTGTATAATACGGTCGAAGAAATACTCAAAATTGGAGAAAGACGTGTGTAATCTACAAAAATACTCTTCCCTCATTATTCTGTCTCGTTGTCTGATTTTTTCATCTCATCCATTGTCGAGAAAATTGATGTTGTGGGTTTCGGACTTTCGGCCATTTGAGCGGTGGGAAATGAATGAAGGAGTTCCGTGATTCTTACGTGACAAGTAGAATAATTGACTGGGATGTGAAGAAGAAGCTAGAAAAAGGGCAACGTAAGAACGACATGCTGTCACGACAGTACACGTAAGACCAATCATGACCTGCCACATGGCTCAGCGAACGTGAAGGGGCAGTACCTGAGGGTCCCAAGAATTGTCGGCCTAGATTGGATAAACACTTTTCTATACAACGCGTCGGTGTTTAAGGATCTCTGAGCTCCCAGCAGGGATTGACAAATGGCGGTGTCTGATTGGACCTTAAAATTTCGAGATTCACAAGTCTGAGACAGAGAATTGGGCATTCATTTTCTTTTCCTGGTGGTACTAGTTTTGCCCGTTTTAATACGACTAGAAATTTAGAGCTGATACCCGACGATGATGAATCTGGATTCCTCATGTGACTCCATTCATTGGATTGCTATTTTGTGTATGTTTTTTTATTTTAAAATTTTCAAACCCATTTTTATTTTAGAAAAAAAGATCATGAAAAATAAAACTAAGGAATCGCCAATTGAAGAATTTTTCTGATGAACAATTTTGTGCCACACCAAAATAATTAGTATATAAGTACAATAAACCTATTTTTGGATTAGATATTTTCAAATAAAATGATTGAATTAACTAGACTTGAATACTATTAGTATTAAAAGCAAGTAATGGGGGTATTAATTGGGAAGAGAAATGAGGTACGGAAAATGGTGGAGTCGGAAGGAGTATGATGAGATGCGGGCCAAAGGCAAAAAGACAGGTGGTCGGTTTGACGGAGGAGAGGCGGTACATAGGTTCCTTGAATTATGTGGCTGTGTTTTGCTTCTTACTAAACGTCCCTTTTTAAGTTTTTACTTTTTAGCATCAGCTTCTGTTTTTTGGTTTATCTCTGAATCTGATTAGTTTGACAGACAATTAGTACAATCCTCATCAGCCTTGCCCACGTGTTCATGACATGATACCAATAGCCCTTCTTCTTCCATTAAGGAATCAATCATCTGTTTTCGTTTAAGATTTGGTCGCATGGATCGTAAAGCTCGAAAATTTCCTATGATAATACCATATTACCATAGCATATAAGTCTCACACTAAATCCCTGAACTCGTGAACTAGTTTATGATATACTCCCCTCCGTTCTATAATTATTGTCCAGTTTCAGTTTCATTTCTAGTTTAAATTGTACTAACAGTAATTTCTCAAACTGGACAATAATTTTAGGAAAGAGAGGGTACTATTTATATATATATATGGACACACACACCGAGGAAGCAAAAGTGCTTAGTTTACATATCTATTCCTTGAGTGGGAGTTGATCTTTCAAAAATGTAACTTGACTAGGTCGAGGTCGGGGTATTACCAAAACATATAACCCCGATGATGCTCTAGTAACTTATGTATGTTACATCGCAGTTCGGAATTTGGGATAGATGATTTACTCCATAAGTAGTTTGGTGAATGGCCCAGCAAAATGCGAGATCTATCGACTCAAGTCGATTAAGTTCAGTGCGATGGATTTGGCATCCAAATCGACGCGAGAGGGCCTACTAGAGTTATGGGTCAGCCCAACCAGGCCATCATCTTTTGCTTGGACTTGGAATATCATTTTGATCGGAGTTTTTTTCATTTCATGCCTTGGAGATTAATTGACTGAATTATTTTATTGGAATATCATAATTCTGCTTCGAACACTACTAAAGCTCTAAAAATAATTTTTTTTAGGGTCCTGGTGTTCTACAAACTCATATTTGCAGATTTGCAGCAGCCTTGACATCTCCAGCTCCAAAGCTATTAGTACAAGTTGCATTACCAAGATTGTCCTACGGTAGTACCCCACGGCTACGAAGTACGAACAAAGGTAAGCTGAGACATTTTTACATGTCGCCGCCTGCAATACAGTTTAATATCAATAACTGAAGATCATAAGAAGATTTCACCTGAACCTCTGCCAATCCCTCTGCAACAAAACACGCATAACAGAAGCTACGTCATAATGCCATTTTCCAAAATCAAAGCGCGCAAATTCGACGAACATATCTTGACATAAAGTAATAGGGCGAAGTATATGTCCACCACACAAAGTAACGATAAGCAATGCATCATATTATTAATTTCATCGTACTCGTATCTTTTTCCCTATCAAATTTGTACTGGCATTATCATTTGAAATTTGGACAGGTTTTTTTCCCAGTCCAAACAAGAAAAAAACAGTGGAACGTATAGCTCAACTTTAGCCAAGGAATTGCCCGATTCGAGTTCCCATTTACCACACTTGTGCAAAGTTTCCATCGACGTCAGTTCAATTAAATTCAAAATTAAGGTTCAGTTTGAAAATATCAAACACTTCCCCCAAAAAAAAAAAAAACACAAAAGAACAACAAAAATTTCAAATGTTTCCGTATCTCTTTCAAATGTTTCCGTATCTCATAGCCTGACGTGGTGAAATTAAAACATCAAATTCGCCAATTTTAAAATCATAAAACCTTCTAGTGAATGTGCCAAAATATAACACTCAAATCAACAGAGCGCCCAAAATAAAGCCTTCCGCAATTGTTGCTCTACATTTTTTGTGGAGTAATGGTTTTGATACAACACCATTTATATTCTAAATCACGAACACTTAACGTCTGCCAAACAGACCATGGCAAACGTCTACTAATAAAAGAATGATAAAAGAGAAGAAAAACGCGAACGGGCTCTCCACAATTTACTCTGTCAAATTGTACGCACTATTCGAAAAAGTGTACAAACATTACATCAGTCGTAGTTACATCGATAATGGAAGAAGCATTCTTCGCTTCTTTTTCCGGGCTAGCCTCACTTGCTTTGTAATTTTCATGCACAATAGCAATAACAACGTGAAACATAGTAAGATAAATGCGAGCCTCAGATGTCTAAAATATAACGAAACAGCTGAGAAAACCAGGAATGCCAAAATTACGAGCTCCCAAATTACAAAGACTACAACATCCACCCTGCAGAAGAGTAGAGAAAGACAAGCGTCAGATAAGTGAACAGATATTACAGAAGTCATAATTTCTACTCAAGCGGAAATTTTAAACAGTCTTAAAAGTTAATATTGGCAATTCTACTCTTTGGAGACTCCAAACAAAGTGCATTCCTCACAACCCTTTACGAAAATTATCAGGTGACAGGGTCAAGAGATAGACTTTTCGGAATTTGGAACCTGAAACAGGCCTGGACCATGTTTTATTAGATAACAATGGAAACAAAGTCCACATCCATCATCTTTTCTATCATCTCGTGCAGAAAGATTGATATACTCATAGTAGTTAATTAACCTTCAAAAATCAGTCTTAACTCATCAAGTAAACAGGAAGCAGTGCATTATCAAAGTCTCAAAGCATACACTCAAAACCTAAAGACAATAATAACAACTGCTTTGAAAATGCAGGTACAAGGATGTGGAAAACTGGAAATAGAAAGACAATTTTGAGTGAAATCACCATAGTTGGATATAAACATCACTCGGAAGAAGCCTCGACCATGTTTTATTAGATAACAAATGGAATTTCTATCATCTCGGGTAGATTGTCCTTTTACTTAGAATGATTGTCTTTTTACTTAAAATGATTGATAAATTCATAGTATCTAATTAACCTTCATAAATCAGTTCCCGCTCATCATGTCAAAGTCTCAATTAGCATACAATTAAAAATAAAGACAGTCATAACAAAAAGCCACTTTGAAAATACAGGTAGAAGGATGTGGAAATAGAAAGACAATTATAAGTGAATTCACCATAGTCGGATATAATCATGACATGAGCATTGTACCCGAACCCATCCGCCCACTGAACATGATAAAACTTCTCATGGTTTACACTTTACATTTCAATGAACTCACATTACACCGAAGTTACAATATCAAATAATAGACATACAGAAAAGAATGTACCTTGACCCCACTGATAGTTTGCGAAACAACAAAGTTCATTCACCGACGTTCCAATTAGGTTACGAAATATCCCATCTATGATGAACTACAAAACTAATCGAGAAAGGAATAATACTGCAGAAAGGAATTAATAGGTCTAGCTAAGGTAATTACAGGCAACTAGTTACTCTATCATTTCTATATGAAGAATACTATCATCTCTTCACAGCATTTCCCGTAATAATCACCACTATACATAAAAAACACCTTCAAAAAGTCCACACACCAAGAATAAATCATGATTTGGAAATTCTCACTATAATGAAATCATTTTCAATTCCACTTCGTATCACAGACTTTATGGCAGTTCAGAACAAAAATCTCTAGACACTAATGAATTTCATATCTTCATATCCTTCCAGCCAAATCCCACAAGCAACTATACCATATCCCAAAACAAATCAGCCGAATTCAGAAACCGTTACAAGGGAATCAAAATTGGATCAAAACAAGAAAAAAAAACCCATCCTTCCAATAATACAAATTACAAAATAACATAAAACTGATTACAAATAGATAAATTACAAATAGATAAAAATGGAAAAATTGATTACAAAAAATTAAAAAGATAAGGAAACAATTGAATACCTGGAAGAAGATAGATTAGAGGTAGAGGAGAAGAAGGAGACGGAAGCCCAATCGTGCTTGGATCGAATCTGGTATTCTCTGAGCTGTTCCGCTAGATTCGATCGGGTTATCATATCTGCCGGAGAAAAAAAAATGAAGATGGAGGGATAACCCCGAAGCTACGCCGCCGGCCAACCCCAATTCCTCTTTCCGCTTTGGGTGTCTCTGTCCTCGCCACAGGCTGTAGACGTTCAAATGAAACGAGGTCGTTTCAGGATAGAAATTTGAATCGGAGAAGGCTGGCTTCTGCTTTTGGCTTTGGCGGAAGAGTTTTTTCTTTGTTCGAAGCCAACCTCTAACTACATGTGTCCATTTGCCCACCAAAGTGGACGAAATGATGCCTCTCCCTCAATTTATTTTTTGTGAAAAATTAAAAATAAATAAATAAGGCAAACATTAGTCATTTTTTAAAAATAAAAAATAAAAAAAAAACTTGATTTATTGATGAGAAAATGATGATTGATGATAGAGAAAGCAAACATAAGGTTAAGAAAAATTAGAAAAGGTGAGTATAACTAAAATCAGGGCATCACTGATAAACAAAAAAAATTCTAATATCTTTTTTAATATCATTAACGTGTATATATAATATACTTAGTATAAGCTCTCTTAGGGACGAAAGTCATTCACTGTTTGTCAATTCAATCGTTCTTTACTTTTAGGGGATGATTATTCTGTTATGCGGCTAGAAATATTCCCGTGTTACCACTTAACAAGACTCAAAACCGTATACAAATATGCTTAAAGTGCAAAAGGAGAATTAAATGTATTTAATATTTCTTTATTTTCTGGAAGTAATCGACTGCTTTAATTTTTACTGTTGATATTTCTCTTTGTACTGTTCATTCGAAATAATTAGTTATCATTAATAAGAGGAACTAAGAAAAAATTATTACATACCGCAAAGTTGCCTGGATGGTAAATGAAGATCATAGTGTCATTTTTTACACTTTATACGACATTTAATTTGTTTTTTTTTTTTTTTTTTAAAGAGATGATAGGAGAGGCCAAGTGTTTGGACTCATCAAGCAGGCTAATTTGTAACTAGTTCTGGTGACGTACATAGTAACAATTAGAGGCCCATGAGTGATCAAATTTTCTTAGTGAGGCCTAAAGAAATTTGCATTGATTCCCTTGGTGACAATGGTCCATATGGCACCAAAGACTTGAAGAATGCTCAAAACAATCCCCAAGACTCCAAGTGACCAATTCAGACACCACATCGCCTTATACTTCTTAGGTTTGCTGATCAAGTTCCACATTATGCAAGGGTACGCGAACGTGATTGGCAGTGAAATGCCACCAAGCAAGCCAGCTAAACTCGGCAGGAACGGAAGCGCAACCGCGATGAAGAATGCCAGGCAACCGAAGAGGATCCGAAGCACAACCCTTAGCCATCTCGGGCATGGCCTGTTGTGGTTGCTGGTGAACCTGAACTCGAAGTTGTCGAACACAGGCATCGCGTAGATTTGAAAAGATGTGAGGCTGTTGAATACGATCAGGAGGCTCGTCGCCCCCAAAATCGCCTTTGATGTGTCGTTCCTGTGATACTTGTTTAAAGCACTCATTATGCCTCCATTGGTAGGAATCTGGTGTAAAAGCGAGACAGGATTAGTACTCTTCAATAATCATTTCAATTGTTTGGTCTGTTTCATAGTATTTTTGTTAAGAGTAGTGATACATGCAAAGAAAATTTACGGGGATTGACGTGTCTAAATCTCAATTATAAGGTTTAACTATGGACTGTTGTGATTCATTCCCTTTATATTTTTCTGGCAAATTTTTCCTGTAATAATCATTATTTTATTCTTAAAAGGCTAAACAAAATATGTAAATGAAGGAGATTTATTACCAGGACTCCATAAGCCCAGTAGCCTCCAATTGCTAATGGAAATAAACACAAAGCAATTATGAGGTAGGAGATTTTTGCTCCTTTCCACATTGGCGATCTAGAAGGCTGCTTGGCACTAGAAGGCATTGTGCCCTGCAGTACCATTTAAAGGGCAAAACATTAGAGAAAAAAGTACCTAAATATATGACACAGTACAGGAGTTGCAGATTCTTAGATACCTGAATTTCAAGGACTAAATTGTGACCCCTGAAAGCAAATGCAATGATACCAAGGGCGTTTAGGATGCTGCAAATTTGACCAATTTCAGATTTATAGTCCTTCTTTAAAGATGTTCTTAATGGGTCATAGGAAATGTCCCTAGGCCTATCTTTAACTATGGAGACAACCCAAATCATGGTACAATAGGAAACAGCAGTAAGTGAGGCGACGAGGGATACTCCTGCTATGGAATTTAGGTTGGGAAGTTGGGCCAGAATTATTGCTGAGATTGTGAATAAGAGGTACCATTCTGTCATGCTAAGATGGTTTAAATTGGTTGTGTTTTCAGACACAATCTGGAAGAACATCTTCATGGTACCACCTCCAATCATTATTAGCGCAACACAAGTGCCTCCTGATAGATACATGGTTGGGAACAGAGCTAATACCTTCCCAAGCTTGTTACCTGATCAAAAAAGAGTTTCATTTGTCAATTGATCCGAGACTTTTGATGACTTTAAGCATAAAGGCAAAGAGAAAGATATGAAAAAATGTAAAAATACGAGAAAGAATATAGAATCCTATAAAGAGGTGGAGGGAGTATATTCTCTCTTTCGTTGGAAATAAGCTAATACACATAGATTGTCCTTTTTTTGGCTAAACTTTTGAATGATTCCTCTCCAGATTAATTGAAGTTGACCTGATGATGGACGATGGTTGAATATAGGTTTTGATTCTTACCAAAAGCAGCCATTGATAGCCAAAGGTAGCGGCTAAATCGCATCCCGGGTACTGATTCATGGAGTTGAATCAACAACCATAGTGTGTATAATTGCCACGAAAACGCCAGTGCTAGACTCAGGATTCCCCATGTCCTGCACAATTTTGATGTTCAATATTATAAGTATAAAGAAACAACTATTGTACATGAGATGTTGACAAAGTAAAGTGTGAAAAGAAAGAAAGAACTTACCAACCAAGGGAAGTAAAAGCAAAAGGGAGGACAAGGGCTTGAACTCCAAGACCTGAACTAAGCGTGTGAAAAGCTGCATAATAAGCATTACCATTCCTTGATTCTGTAATTGGAAGCCAAGCTTCTTGAGGGTTAAGCTTAGTAAAATGACCAAATTCTTCCAAGTAACCTTGCATGCTTTCAATTGCTTTCTTCATGGGGCTGGCAATTGGTGTCATCATGACATTGAGTGTGGCTATTAAGGGGCTCTTTGTGGGAGATATTCCTCCATTAGTGATATCATGATGATGGGTTGTTTTTGGAGTTGTAGTACTACTCATTGATTCATGAATATGATCATAATGAACAAATGATGGTTGCTGCTGATGAATTATAACAGAGCTAGACGTCACAACAGCTTCTACTCTCTCACTCATTTTGCATGTGTTCAATTAGAGAATCTTGTAGGCTGAAAGGGTTCTTAGTTTGAGGTTTTGAGCCATGATGGTAGGCATATATAGAGGAGAAATATTGTCGTTCATCGAGGTATAGGTATGGTGTATAAAAAAATAAAAATAAAAATTCCTGTCTTAAAGAAATATTTAATAAAATATAAATACGATCATTTCAGAACGGAGAAGTAGAAACCTAACTCTTATTAGGTAAAGTGGAGACATACATAAAAACATTGAAGCCCACAATGTTATCACTATTGTTTTTTTTTTTTTTTGAAAAGGGTTATCACTATTGTTGATTTCGTTGATCTGCAGTGTTCAAAATCACGGATGCAACAAAGGGAGAAAGAAAGAGAGTCATTTTCAGGTAGTTTTTTATACTTGGGATGCTTGTGGATGATCAGCCTGGCATGGAAAGGGATTAAATTTCACTGAGTGGAGGTTGATGGTGGACATTTTATTATATTTCTCCAAAGGAAAATTCACAGTTAAAGTAACACAGGAGTATCTTTGTCGCTTTGACCAGTTGGGGGATGGCTGTTATTGTTCGCGCTTACCTTTAATTTTTTTAAAAAATATATTTACAATGATCGAATAAATTCAAACAAATATATATATGATATGAAAATTAATCTTCCCTTCAATTTCATCTTCCCTTCAATTTCAGGCGAATTTCTTTTCGGATGCAAATAATCTTTTAATAAATCCTCATTTCAATCAGATGGATTTCTTTAGAGATTATTTATCTATACAAATGATGGAACTTGGAACCTGTTAAAAGAGGACATTTTTTCCCCCTAGAATTATTGCTTCTCACATCGCAAACTTTCTAATTAAGAAGAGTACCCCCATCTAAAGCAACAAAGTCAACAAAAAATGATGTCGGCATAAGTTCTATACCAAATCAAAGTCACCAAAAGTAAATCATGGAATTATGCTACGTGCATAAATTTATGTAGCATCTTACTGTGGATTCAACCATATGCAATTTGATCATGTAATGGATCCTAAATAATACTAACTATACGTAGTTAAGGGGCTGTTAGGAAAAGAAAAAGAAGAAGCAATTTAACTACAAGGTTTACTATCCCAAAATTCGTGACAACAAAGGAAAAAAAAAAAAGAAGAAGCAAAAGCCTACTCTAAATTCCATTCCCAATAATAACATTCTTACCCTGTAGAGATGATGTTCTTCAGGAGGAATAATAGTAAGAAGAATAGAAAGGAATTCTTGAGAGCCAATAACTTTCGGATCAACTATACATATATATATAGTAACGAACGGTGTTAATTAATTAGGCTAAACTGTATATTCCATTTAAATTATTGGATGGTCCATTTTTCTATCAGTAAATAAGTAGATTGACCTCTTTTGGCTGCTGAAATCCTTGTTTGCTTAATTCACCAAGTAATTTTGAGTTCTAGTTGATTTACTCGTGAAACCGTGAATATAGTTTATCAATATCATATGTACTGTAAATAGTTTTAAACTTGAGGCACCTTCTTGGCACCAGCCTATGGTTCACATTCTTTTTCGACTGAAAAATGAATTTGCTTTTGTAATTAGAGTGATTGTGGATTGTATTAAAGTATTACGATGTATATATAGTAAATATGTGTGTTATCTTTGTAATTGTTGTATTTTACCTTAGTTAGGGTTTTGTATACCGTAATTCTAGGGATTGATTGATACGTAGTTTACTGTATATAACTTACCCTAATATCAAAAACAACGGCAAGAGATTAAGCCGCTTTTCCGTTCTTCTCTTCGTTCTTCTCATGGTATCAATCGCAGGATTTTTGTAATCTTCCTGTTGCTTGCTGCTGTTTGTTTTTTCCCGCGGATCATGACCAACACCGACATTCCTCAGCCGTCTCGTGACAAGCAACCGGCCACTGACAGTGGTGATTTGGTCGTCCGCCGCCGTACCATCTCTCCATTTGATCTCTCGCCGAATGACTTCTCCGGCACTGTGATCACCACCGTTCAGCCGTCGGTGAAAGCAACTACGTCGAATGGTCCAAAGCCATCACTACCGCCCTTCGTGCACGAAAGAAATTCGGGTTTGTTGACGGATCACTCACTCAGCCGCCGGATTCATCGCCGGATGCCGAAGACTGGGGGCCGATTAATTCTCTCTTGGTCTCCTGGATTTTAAACACCATTGAACCTGCACTTCGCTCGACGATTTCTCACACCGAGATTGTTCGTGATTTGTGGCTGGACATCCAGGAACGTCTCTCCATTGTTAACGGCCCCCGGATTCAGCAGCTTAAGTCTGATCTTGCTCACTGCCGGCAGAAAGGGATGACTGTTATGGCTTACTATGGCCGGCTCAAGATGATCTGGGAGGAGTTAGCGTCCTACGATTCCTTCCCGCGTGTACCGTGGCGGCTGCTCTTGTAATCTCTCGGCGGCGGCAGAAGAAGGTGGAAGAAGAAAACTCCATCGCTTTCTTCTCGGCCTCGATGACAGCCTCTATTCCGCCGCCCGGTCTCAGATTCTTGCTCAAGATCCACTTCCCCGACTGAGCAAAGCCTATGCCACCATCATCCGCGAGGAACGTTTGCACTCCATGACTGCAGCCAAGGAGCCTCTGCCGGAAACCATGGCTTTTGCGGTTTGACGCCGGTTCCGCGGTTCTCGCTGTTGACGTGGTGGCCCGGCAGCGGTTGTCGGATCTAGTACTCTGAATCGTGGGGCTTCTCCGGCGCCGGCTGCCTCCAGTGGTGTGTTATTTTGCACCAATTGCAATCGTCCTAATCACGATGTCAGCACATGTTACCGGTTGATTGGTTTTCCTCCCGGCTGGTCCTCTCGTGGTCGTGGCGGCGGACGCGGCCGTGGGCGAAATAATCCGAGTGCTGGCCGTGGCAACTCTCCACAACTTGGGACCGTTTCCGGAGTTCCAACTCAGCCTTCCGCGGCTGCCCACAATGTGTTATTACCTTCCGGCGGTGATGGCGTCGGTTCTGCTGTGACCGGACTTAATGCCGACCAGTGGAATACGCTTCTCTCTTTATTGAACTCGGCCAAATCTCCTTCGGGTTCATCTTTGTCTGGTAAGCGTATTTGTGAAAATTGGATGTATGATTCGGGTGCCTCGCGTCACATGACAGGTTCTCTTGATTATTTTGCGACTATTTGTGATATACCTGGCATTTCTGTCCAATTACCGAATGGTCATTATACTTGGGCTAACAAAGCCGGCACTGTGGTTCTTAGTGCTAAAGTCACTTTGCAGAATGTACTGTTTGTTCCGAGTTTGACATGTCATCTTATCTCGGTTTCTCAACTGTTGCGTGATACTGGCTCTATTGCTCACTTTACCTCTCATTTTTGTGTTATACAGGACCTCACTTCGAGGATGCGATTGGAGCGGGTGAGCAAAGAGAGGGCTTTATTTTTCCGGGATGTGGAAAGTCTCGCTGCTACAACACCTAGGGTTTCTTCACTCGAGTTATGGCATCAACGTCTTGGTCATCCCTCCTTTAAGGTTTTGGCTTCACTTCCTAGTGTCGGCTCTCCCTCAGATTTTAGTCATTTTCATAATAAGGCCTGTGATGTGTGTTTTAGGGCCAAACAGTCTCGATCTTCCTTTCCCGTTAGTAGGACTAAGATCATTGAGATTTTTCGTTAATTCATTGTGACTTGTGGGGTCCATATCGGGTTCCCTCATTTTCGGGTGCTCGGTATTTTTGACAATTGTTGATGATTTTTCCCGTGCCACTGGATTTATTTGTTGCATGATAAAAGGAAGTTTCTTTAAAGCTTCGTCGCTTTTTACTATGGTGGAACGTCAATATGGAAAATTGGTTAAACGCGTTCGTAGTGACAATGGCACCGAATTTATGTGTTTAATCGATTACTTTCTTCATCATGGCATTTTGCATGAGACGTCTTGTGTTGGGACCCCCAGCAGAATGGCCGTGTAGAACGTAAACACGACATATTTTGAATGTGGCGCGTGCATTACGGTTTCAGCTCGATTGCCCATTGAATTTTGGGGCGAATGTGTCTTAGCTGCTGCCTATTTAATTAATCGTACTCCTCGAGTGTCTTAAATGGAAAAACCCCATGTGATTTTTGTATGACAAGCCTCCTTCTCTCGGCTCATTTACGAGTGTTTGGTTGCCTTTGCTTTGCGCATCAACGTAATCGTAGCGGTGATAAGTTTTCTAGTCGCAGAGGCGATGTGTGTTTGTGGGATATCCTTATGGCCAAAGGGTTGGCGTGTCTATGATTTAGACACCGGTGAATTTTGTTTCTCGCGATGTTATTTTCTTTGAATCGGAGTTTCCATCTCTGTCGCTCGACTTGCCCGGTTCGTCTTCTCCATTGTTTGCTTCTTCACCGTATTTTGGATGATGATTCTTCCGATTCATTATTGAGGCTACTTGTCCCGGTTTCTCCGTCCGTTCCTCTTATTTCTCCGACACCGGCGCATCCGTTTCTTCCGAACCCGCTCCCAAGACAGGGGGTCCTTCCCATACACAACAGAAGTACTATTGGGCCGTGGGCATCGTCTCAAACAGCTGCCGTTCGCTCGCGAGATTTTACGGCACACACTATTATAAGCCCCTCTCCCGCCACTTCCGCCGCTTCTGGGTTTCCTCAAAGGCCCTATCCTATACACAATTATGTCACCTGTGATTCTTTTTCCCCACATCATCGTGCATTTTTGGCTAGCGTCTCTGCAGGAATTGAGCCTCGTACTTTTCCGAGGCCGTCGGGACGTTCGATGGCAAGTGGCTATGCGCCAAGAGATACGAGCTTTGGAAAAGAATGACACATGGTCCATTACTTTCTTCCTCCCGGCAAACGAGCTATCGGTTGCAAGTGGGTGTTCAAAATCAAGTACCACTCGATGGCTCGTGGAACGCTATAAAGCTCGCTTGGTGATTTTAGGCAACAATCGATTGAAGGTCCGGATTACAATGAGACCTTTGCTCCGGTTGCTAAAATGGTGACTGTTCGTACA